AACAAGTTAGATTTTCAGACAAACAAGCTGAAAATTCAGCCAAATATTCCAGAAATTCTTTCAATGAAGCAAGAGATTCTGGCAAATGAGGTAGACGTTCAGCCAATCAATTTAGATATTCAACCAATCAGTCTAGAAAGTCAGCCAGACTATTTAGAAATTCATCCAATCAAATCAGAAAGTCAAGCAAGCAAGCTTGAAATTCAGCCAAACAATTTAGAAATTCAACCAAACAATCTTGAAATTGAGCTTAATGAATTAAAAGTCCAACCAGTGAAGCAAGGCATTCAGGCAAATGACTTCATAATTCAGCCAAGCATGAAGCAATGTAGGAAATCAACCAAGCAATGATATAGAAATTCAACCAAGCAATGATATAGAAATTCAGCCATTAAATGAACTGGATCATCCAAGATCAAGGTCGCTATCTCCAATGCCAGATCTAGAGACGTATTTCGAAGTTGAGGAAGTTTTCTATAGCGTAAGAAATACCTACTTTAAAACATGTTACATGAATTTTGATTTTTTAGTATTTAGTGTCATGATGAATTTACTGTAGGAACCTGTAGATTTATGCCAATTGTAAAATTATTAATTATTGTTTCATGAATTGAGTCATATTATTGGAAGGTTTTTTAAAAAAGTAAGTTTTATAAAAAAAATATGTAAAAAAAAATTCTGGGCCCACCATGGGCACCCCTCCTGGATCCACCAGTACCTCCCCCTCCAATCATTAGTGGAGGAGACAATTAATGCCAAAAGGTCTCCTCCACTAATGATTGGTGGGCCCATAAAAAATTTTGAGGACCCAAATCTTTTGTAGGGCCTCAAAAATGGGCCTGTCGCCAGGATTTGCCAAAGGGCGAGTCGCTTTTTAAAAGATTCCAGGCTGGAGTTCGCTTTTGTCAACTTTGGTCTAAAAATGGCCTAAATCACTTGAAAAGATGCTTTAGAGTAGTCAAAAACTGCATGATTTTGAAAGAATTTTTGGCCAAGGTGGGGGGTCGAACCTTTCCCCTGGCTATGGGTCTGTACTCACTGGCTATTTAACATATACATAAAAATAACTTCTGAGACTTGAGAATTAGTATGCAATATCACTCAAAATTGAAACTTCTTATTGGGTAAGGAGGTGAAGTCTCTTGAGTTGCCTGGAGCAATCGAGCAAATCAAGCAACGGCCTTAATTCATGTAATTTTCTTGAAGAATCACACTAATTACAGTATTTGCCCATATAGGTAAACTCCGCCTTTTTCGCCATTTATGGAGAGTGTCAATTCCTTGTTAAATCTACAAAATAAACCTGTTGCTCAAATTTTTTCGGCCAATTTAACAGGAATGTAAAATAAACATGTTTTTCAGTACTTTTATATCTTTATTTTGAAATATCATCAGGAAGAAGCATGGCTCAGTTTACCCCAAAGATGTGTTTTGAAGTAGAATACGTTTGTTATTATATAGACACACCTATATAGGCCAATGTAATTTAATTCTATGTTGAGTCTAAATTTTTGTTGTACCTTACACTCCCCTTATGCCTTGGTCTACGGCGCTCGGCCGCTTGAGTATTATATTCAAAACTGAATACAATTTTGAACAAAATACTCAATCGGCCGGGTGTCAGCCGATGAATTGAAGCAAGTGTGACCCAGGCATTAATAAGTTTTTGCAACTGGAAGTGGAAGTTTTCACTGAATCTTAATTTTGTTTCCAAATTACAATAGTAATGGAATTTCATGAATTGCCAAAAATAAACAGGATTTTGATAAGTGATCTAAAAGGGGATTTTTAGTTGCCAAATTGATGGGGAGTATAAAAAGGGATGATATTGTCATCAACTTAGCAGACAGGCCAGAGTGTCTCACATTTTTCATCTCAGGCTTGACTGATGGATTTTCAGTTTTCAGTAGGAGAATCTAGTACTTTTTGAGATTCTGGGTAATGTTCATGACTGATTTTTATTGATTGCAGTGCACCTTGTTTGAAATTTAGTTAAATGCAATTTTTTAGGAAAACAAGTGGGGAGATGTTACAGTATACATTTTTTGAACATTGTAATGGGGAGATATCAAATAAAAGGTGTTAAATGTGCATGGCTATATTAACCTTAATAGGGGTATATTGTCAATTTCCTCAGTAAAACGTTCCAGATCAAAAAATTCTTGCTGTAATTCAAGTTCATATTTAGTATAAATACCACCATGGATCATATTTATTAAATGGTAATTTGTGCTAAACATATAAGACGTTTTACACTAGCCTTATTCCAAATCATTATTTTGAAACAATGTCAGTGAGAAACATGTCTCAATTTCCGAGGTAATCAAAATATCTGGAATGAGTTTTTGCTTTTACCTGATCAGAAATTTGAAGAATATATAGTGATATGTTACCCTGTGCAAGAGGCATTGGCTTTGCCTCACTCTTTGATATGCCTGATGAAGCTCTGATTTTGCATCTAGCCAATCAGAGCAGATCAGTGTCTATCAAAGATGGTTCAATATTTGTTAAGGTATCATTTAGGCTCAAAAGTGCTCTCTGATCATTCTGTTACTCATTGCATCTTTCTGTTTTTCTAGAAACATGCTCTGATATTAAGTGTCAAGGCTGAGAAGAAATGAGATTATCATGAAGCTCTCTGATTGGATGGATGTCAAGCTATAACTGGTCATGCCTGAATTTAAAAATTTTGAAGGATGGCATTTAGAGAGTAGTGAAATGTACTTTTAGCCAGTAATCTCTGGGCTGTTTTGTGTTTTTGATGATGGTACTGATTCACATATGGGTATTATAGCCCATGGGCATTATGGTGAGAGGGAAGAAATTTTGTTGATGTTTCTTTGAGGCCCTCACTGGGATTTTGAATTCTTCAGAATTCAGTTAAAGTAATTGTGATAAGGACAAGGATTTTTATGTGAAATTGTACTGGAAAGTAGCTTCTGAGATTTCGGGACCTATTTTAAAAGCACTCTTCAATTTAAAATGCTTTGCTTTTGTTGTTCTTTGTTAGGAGACCAAACTTTATCAATAACCTTGTACCTATTGAACCATTGGATAAATCAGTTTCAAACACCTGGTCACATTCTATCCCATGAAAAAATATTTTAGCCTGATTTAAAGTCGGAAATAGAGAAGGATTAGTGGAATAAGCAAGGAATATAATAAACAGGCATGTAGTTAACACTCTAAGTTGTATAGAAATGCAAGAAAATCAAATTGTGTATTCAAATTGTAGAGAGAAATGGAAAGAAATATTCACCACCAGAGAATTTTGTAATTGGACAATTCAAAGCTGAATGGAGTTTGATTGAATAAGGAGAAAATACAAAACATGTCTAGCATTGTGGTTTAAAATTGCACCTGTTGACCCCTTCCATATCAAAATAAACACAAAACAGGTCAGGTGAATGTAAGGAAATGTCATGATGACCTGGTTTATAAGTGTCATTAATAATTATGATTTCTCATAAAAACCACTGCGGTTATTAAGAGCAATGTAAACATTAAAATTGCAAAATGTTTGAATTGGGGCATGGTATTGCATGTTAAAAACATAAAGTCCTCCACATACTCTTATATGCTAGAGATCTATAGTCTTGCTTGTTTAAAATTTGGAAATCGGGGGGAGGGGGGTAGACACGAGTCAGGATGTAACCAGAAAATAAAAGTAGGTGTGAATCAAGTTTGAATTAATTTAAGAGGTAATATTCCTAACATTAGACTATCTTCACAGTTTTAATTAGAAAACATTTCTAGAATTTTATAATTTATACCTTCCTGAAAATTTTTGCCTTACCTAAGTAACTGATATGCCCCACCAATTTCTAGAATTTTATACTTTCCTGTAAAATTTTGCTTTGCCTCAGTCATTGATATGCCCCACCAATTTCTAGAATTTAATACTTTCCTGTAAAATTTTGCCTTACCTCAGTCATTGATATGCCCCACCAATTTCTAGAATTTAATACTTTCCTGTAAAATTTTGCCTTACCTCAGTCATTGATATGCCCCACCAATTTCTAGAATTTTATACTTTCCTGTAAAATTTTGCCTTGCCTCAGTCATTGATATTCCCCATCAATTTCTAGAATTTTATACTTTCCCGTAAAATTTTGCCTTAATCTAGCTACAAGCCCTTGTAAACCCCCCCCCCCCCCCCAATTACATACCACTACAAGTGTTGTTGTTGTTGTTATCGTAGATCAGGGGGTCCAGAGTCTTGAAGTCTACCATTATAACAGGGAATGTCATTTGTTAAAAGTGCTAAAAATTATTCTTGAGGTAAAGGGATTAGAAAAGATACCGTTTCTCTAATTATTCCACTAATGGGAACATACTGTGTGTCAAGCATGTCAAGAGCTAGATTTGGCCAATTAATTGTTGAAACTGATAAAATAAGTGTCAGGGGATTAGGCTCTTTATAAGACAAATAAATAGATCTACGTGACCCAAAACTGTATGTTTTGGATTTTGATTATCAGTTGCATTTTATGATAAATGCCAGGGACGTGCACTTATGAATGCATAACATTTGGTAACTTCTATTTTTTGATTGGCTTGCTGGATTTTGATTGACCTAGTCTGATCGGGTAAGGCTTGATTAAAGAAGTGTATCTATTCTACTTCTAAAAGTGAAGTTAAAGCTCTCTTTTAAGGAAGCAAAATCAAATTAGTTGGAAGCAGGGCAGGTTGACATGGAAACGCAAAGTATTTATGAATAATCCAGAATGATTTTGAGGCAAGTGAATTAATGAATAAATGTACATTTGATTTAGAAAAAAATTATGTTAGAATTGGCATCGTTTTTCTAATTGTCAGTTATGGAGACTACTTAATAATTGCATGTTACCATGGAGACTGTTTTACAATTGAAGGTTTCTATTGATACTGTTTAATACAGTCTGTTGCTATGGTTGCAGGATTTATTTTTTGAAACACAATCACAGGTTACTATATTCAGTATGGAGACACGTCTAATATGTTTTGTTTTATAATTGCAGGTTACCATGGAGACACCTGAGTCACCAATGACAAGTAGTGCGGGGAGTGAGGTCCTTCGTGATGAAAACAACTTCATACAAAATGTCTCCCAATTCTTCAACACACAAGCCCTTAGTGATGTCACTCTAAAAATTGCCGATCAGCGATATTATGCTCATAAATTCGTCTTGGCAAAATCGAGTGATGTTTTCCGAACAATGCTATATGAACGACCTTGGGCGCAATCTCTGGATGATGACGAGGTGGAGTTGAATGAATCAATCGAGTGCCAATCAGTTTTCGATAAATTTCTACGATATTTATACACGGCTGAAGTGTCGATTAACTCACAAACATGTGTGGGTATTTTATGCCTGGCTGATAAATATAATGTTGGGTCTCTGAAAGAACTATGCCAAGCATACATGGTTGAGAACACGAAAAGTCCTAAAATTAAGAATGCGTTATTGTGGTATTCGTGGGGCAAGGCGCTACATTTAGAGCCGCTAATTGAAAGATGTTCAGAAACAATCGCATGGAATGCTCACGAAATAATCACATCGCCACATTGGCTGAATATGGATTTAGACTTTGTTGCGGATATGCTGCAAAAGTCTGAACTTGTCGTGCCAAATGAGTGGGTAGTTCTCGAGGCCACTACCAGGTGGCTACTACACGAATCCCACGTAGGGAATCTTTTGGAGAACTCAGAAAACCTGTTACCATATGTACGTCTTCCTCAAATGTCTATAGCCCAATTATACCGCCTGGAAAACAGTGAATTGTCAGAGCATCTTGAATCATCGTCGTTAATCAAGGACTTGCTCGGGAAGGCTTTCAGATTCCGCGCACTTTGCCCTTCCCAGCATGCCCTTGGTGTAAGTTTCAACGAGCCATTTTACCAGCCTCGTGATTATATGGATCTCACCGTTGATAATGTTAGAATGCAGAACACTCTACGCTTTGGAATACAAGTTGACGTCAAAATGTTCACTGGTCCAGTTCCCGGAGAAATTCGGGATGCCGATTGGAAACTGACATACCGAAAAAACGGTGAAATCTGGTCTCTTCAGATTTATGCTCATGAAACAGCAATGGTCAACAACGAAGCTAGATTTGAAACTAGCGTCGTCATTTTTGACGAACTCGATAAAGTAATTCAAGTTGAACGGCAACCTGTCACGAGTGTTACTCGAGGGAACAGTCAAAATATCCAAGTCACAATCAAATCACCTGAAACTTCTAAAAATATGGCTGTTCTTTTAAAGACAGTTGCAAGTTGAATGTAGAATCGCTCAAATAGGGAATAGGATTTGGGAGAAATATTTAAAATGAAATAACGAAGAATTCAGAAAATGAAATCATTTTTTGAAAAAGTTTCTTCTTTCATAAGAATCAGAATTGACGCAGTCTTGTAATTATTCCTTGAAATTATTGTAAATTAATAATTCATTGTAGTCATTGCGATATTTAATGCTGCAAATGCAATCATGAATCTTAATTCACATTTATATTAGAAACAAATTGTTGTAATTTTACAACACTTATTACAACAAAAATTACAATTACAACAATGCTCATAACTAACTTATTTTTAAACTGACTGATTTTCATAATTTTGTACAAATATGATTGGTATGATTCTGCCAAAACAATGTTAATGCATACAACTGTTTAGTAATATACAGGGTGTCCGGAAATTTCTGGACACCCTAGTGTGCATGTCTGTAGAAAGATATTTTTGATTCATTTAGGGATTGTCATCAACTTTTGAGTTTTTGGGAGAGGGTTATTTATAATTTTGATAGGTAAAATGTTGATTTTTCTGAAATCAAGTGAATGGAAAATCGATGTTAAGTATAATTTTTTTTAAATATGTTAGGAGGGAGGTTAAATCCCAACAAATATTTTGTAACATAATTTTTGAGATTTGGGCACTATCCTTCTTAAATAATGGATTTTAATTTGTCATGGAGCTGTCACACTAGGCCGTGTGGAGCTGTCACACTAGGCCATGTGGAACTGTCACACTAGGCCATGCGGAGCTGTCACACTAGGCCATGTGGGCTCACCGTTTGCCAACGTGTGTTTCATAACTTTGGCGCAGATGGACACACAGTGTGCAAAACAAATAGTTTACAGCAGGATACCCCTCATGCCAAATACAAAAATTAATTCACACATAATTAGGCAAGGTGTGTATTTCACATAACAGCAGTGCATGAAATAACCAATAACGCATTCGATGTATGGTTGTTGTCTTGGTGAGAACAGAACTCACTGATTGGAATTGATGCTTTGCCAATTTGACCCTTGCAAAAATTTTCATTGAAAATGTATTCTTTTAGTGATATTAAATCTTTTAAGTGATATGGAGGAAAATATTTTGCTTGTGTGAAAAGAATTTAAGCCCAAGACTCAATGCATTGTGTAATGACCATTCCTTTCAAGCATTCTTTCCTAAAATTAAAAGTTGATTAAGACCATCTCGTGCAAATTTTGGAAAGCAACACCATCAAGGAATGGCCATTCCACATTACACTGAGTCAAGGGCTTAACTCCTTAATATATAAATGCCCAAAATTGAAAATTGTTCACATGATGGTGGCTGATGAGGCAACACGGCCTAATGTGACAGCTACCTCAGAATCAGATGATGACTTTAATTGTTGTAATGTAAATATATAGTTATAATTGTTATTGTTACAACAAATTTAGCAAGTAGCAGATCATGATTTAAAGTCAGGGGTATAATTGGAATTTGTGACAACAGGCAAAACAAGTGAAAAACATGCAGAATTTGGAAAAAACAATATGTAAATGTACAGCCAATCGCATCCTTGTGGAACCCATGCTGCTGGGATCTACATTGAATATGTGGTGAAATCCATGTGAATTTTCGGGATTTTAGACATGTGGAAATAGGACAGTTACCATGGTAATCAGCATGAGATTTTGCATCTGTTTTCATGCAAATGTATTTTCCATTATTTCGCGTGCTGTTTTAATTTGCTTTGCTAATTGCTTGTTGTTAGAATTTCAAATGAAAACCCTGTCATTTTGCAAGAGCATCATGACCTTCTTCTTATGTACTGATGTAGGCCCAAAAAATACTTCAGTTATCAAGTGTATTTAGAGAATGCCATGACATTCAGAGTACATCACAACTGAATTACAGTTAAGTTGTAGTATCACTTCCCTATAAATATTAATGCTAAATGAACCAACTGAATTTTTATATTTCTACGTGTTCACATAGAGTTGGTCTTATACAATATGGATATCATTGGACCAAGAGACCAAAACATATCATTCAGAGGCATTCACACACACACATCTTACTTCACACTTTAACTTCCTTAACTACCTACCCAGAATAACATTTTTAGTTTTAATATAACATGGAAGTCAATGGACCAACAGAGACCAATATAAAACATTCAGAGGCAATAATATATACAAGTTTCAGGCCCGTAGACAGGATTTGCCAAGGGGGGTCACTTTTTGAAAAATTCCAGGGGGGATTCACTTGTGACAATTTTGGTCCAAAAATGGCCAAAATCACTTAAAAAGTGCTCAGAATGGTGAAAAACTGCATGATTTTGAAAGATTATTTTGGCCGGGGGGGGGGGTCGAACCTATCGAAAACCTCCCCCCCTGGCTACGGGCCTGAATTTTACTTCTCACTTTAACTTCTTAGTACTTACTACCCAGAGTGACACAATGTCTGTCACAAAAGGATTGACCCAATTGACCTTCAATGATGAGATAATATGGTGACATATTGTTATAGTCTCCAACTTTTTTCGTGGACTGCATTCGGCATCTGTAACATGGCGTCTGTATCAAATTACGACATCCTAACAAATGGCAGGTGGTGACATCTCATTGAAGGACTTACAATACTGTGACACCAAAGCAGTTTCAGTTCGATGAAATCCTCATTTTATTGAATGCATTTACCCATTTACCAGGGATCCCAGGCCCGTAGCCAGGATTTGCCAGGGGGGTTCATTTTTTAAAAATTTCCAGGGGGGTTCACATTTGACAATTTTGGTCCAAATATGGTTAAAATCACTTGAGAAGTGCTCAAAATTGTATAAAACTGCATGATTTTGAAAGAATTTATGACCCCCTCCCTGGCTACGGGCCTCAGGATCCCACAAATGCTATGTATAGTTAACTTAGGTGGACAAATAGATGGCACTAAACAGAAGATATAAACAAATAAACGATCTTCCATCTTTCCGTTCAACTTAATCCAGGGACCTATATTTCAGTAGTGCATTTTAGCCCATTGAATTAGACAACCAACCATATTTATTTCTAAATGTACATATTTATAATACATGTATGTGTAGTGTATATGTGTATAAACCATATATTTATATTTCTTAAAGTAGAATCAGAGTCTGAAGACAACTTTATCAGATAATCAATCTTTTTTAACTTTTTCTGAAATCTCAGAAATGTAGGGCTAGAATTTACAGATTTCTGTGTATAACTTTATCATTTGGTAAGATATCATGGATAACCTTAGACACCTCATTGGGTTATTTGTAAGCAGGGTGATTGCCTCATGTTGAGAAAATTATTGGCATCCATGCAGGCCCGTAGCCAGGATTTGCCAAGGGGATTCACTTTTAAGACATTCCAGGGGGGTTCACTTCAGACAACTTTGGCCCAAATATGCCCAAAAACACTTGCAAAATGAATGGTGAAAAACAGCATGATTTTGAAATAATTTTTGGCCAAAAAGTTGTTCAAACCCATTGAACCACCCCCTGGCTACGGGCCTGTCGCCTGCACTAAATATTTGCAAAATGCCCAATAGGCAACTCATTTTTCCAAGTTCATTGCCCAGAGCCAAACCTGATTGTCATTGGCAGCCAGGCAGCTGTGAGTTTTCGAACCCTGTTTGCAAGTCTAAGGCCAAGGCAAAGAGTCTAGTTACAAGCCTCTGTGACCCCCCCCCCCCTTCTACTTGACTAAACACCTGACACAGTGACAATGGCTTGGAGCTACACTAGCAAAGATACACTTGTTAAAAAATAATGTTGATTTCAATTTTGTTTATACCCGTACTACTGATTCTACTTTTATCACTTAGCTTTGTAAGTTGCATTTTTTCACTTTTGTATATGATTGTTCAATAATTATTGATTTATTAATTAATTAAGAATGGAATATAAGTTGATTGGAAATGCTTAATGGTTGTTGGAGGAATGTGCAATACAATTACAATATTGTAGTATTGATGAAATACAATTGATATTGCACTTTTGAAGCAATATAATTAACATTGCAGTTTTGATGAAATACAATAAATAGTGTTGTCTTGATGAAATACAAGTGATATTGTTGTATTTTCAAAACATTTTTATTGTAGTCTTAATGGAATACAAATACTATTGTAAGAAATACAAAATTGTCATGTTGAAATACAATTATTATATTGTAGTCTTTATAAAATACAAGAAACGTTTTACTATTGATAAAATACAATAAATACTGTTGATTAATTATCCCACCGAACGAAGTTCAAGGAGATATCGAAGTCATCTGTCCGTTTACAGTGTGACTCGGCGATTCAAATACCGGTTGACTGAATTGATTCAGATTTTATAGGTGACTCACACTCCCCTCCATAAGTTTGGCAACCATTGCTCCCCCATTGAACTACATGTACGTGTTAAAGCCTCTTTACGTTTGAATTTTTATTTGCTTAACCGGCGATGAAATAACGTATAATATTGATGTAAACGTAACTTGACTTTAATTCCAATACGTCCGAATTTTCTCAATTTTTCCTCCATAACAATAGGTAAAACATTGATGATAAATTTGATGAATTTTTGAAAATTGTCATTCCCATGTAATCCAATGGGAAATGGAGGGTTCGGGGCAAATCAGAAATCAGGATATCTTTTCAGCAAAAGATTCAGCAAAAACATTTTTATAAAGAAAATTGAATTGTCTATCTTTTTGTACACTGATGAAACTGAAGAAACATATCATTTTTTGTTGAATAAAGTTAGCAAATTCAATTGCCTGCCTAAATCGTATTTTTTGCAAGGACTCGGATGGATGGATATTCTGTCATATGACTTGCGGCAAACCTACCATTCCCATTGGATTACATGGGAATGACGATTTTCAAAAATTCATCAAATTTATCATCAATTTTCGACCTATTGTAATTGAGGAAAAAATTGAGAAAATTCGGAGGTATTGAAAATAAAGTCAAGTTACGTTTCCATCAATATCATAAGTTATTTAATAGCCGGTTAAGTAAATAAAAATTCAAACGTATAGAGGCTTTAACACGTAGTTCTATGGGGGAGCAAAGGCTGCCAAACTTATGGAGGGGAGCGTATGCCTTATGGTCGTAGGACCTATGCTCGAGAAGGAATTTTTAATATGGCCGCTCAATTCGAAATAGCCACCATTTTCTGTTATCTTTGATTGCTCAAATACTAATACAAGGGTCGTTCGAAAAGTCTTGCACGACAGCCTCTCAAGAGAAGAGATTTTATTATTTTTATGTGAAATTTCATACAGATATAGTATAACCCTTCTTACAAGCTTATATGAAATTTCAGGACCATAAGCAATATACTTCCTCAGATACATCGACTTAAAAATTTGAACCAATGGCCCCATGGTACATATGACGTCATTAGATTGAATTGATTTTGTGAATGCCTTTATAGACTGAAATGATTCCGTCAATCTTTGTTCTTTCTGCTGTTAATCAGGTTATATTATAACTAATTTATATTTAATCTAAATATACAGTACTTAACATATAGTCTTCCTTTCAGTAATGCATTATACTTGTAGCATTACGTCCAGTCCATAAGCAAATGTCTGAACCATCCTACCTATAGGATATCAAGCCCTCTCATAACTACAGCTACCCTCAATACATTTCCCTTCTCTTATTCCATCTTGGAATACTTAGCAGACCCTATTGGAGTCATCACATGCAATATGTCTTAATCATGAATGAGTATAACTTGTGTAATACTGTTTCCCCATTCTTTATCATGTATTCTATCAATGTTTTCTGCTCCAACTTAATAATTCAAAGCCATATTCTCCAATATTTCCTGAATTCATGAGAAATTTGATAACGTCACAAAATCAGGTGATTTATTCAAGATGTTTGAAGAGTATGTTTACGGTCATTCTTTCACATAACCAAAGAAAACAAGCTGGGAAATATTGAGATAAGATTCACATTTTCCATTGAGAACAATACGTGGAATTTTTTACATTTAAATTGACAGTTTATGAAAGTTAATTTAGCGTCCTTAGTAACATTGATCTTTATGTGTTACTAGTTATCTTTTACAAAATGATATGTACCATAGCGTCATCACCGTGGTTACTATAGCAACTGTAAAATGTTAAGTATTAGGCATATATACATGAAACTTTGACAGTGTAAGGGATTAAGATATGGGCACATACATACCAACTATGAACAAGATTGATCCATTATTCTCACAATTAGACATATTTGTGCAAAACTTTTTGAACAACCCTTGTATATATAAGGAGACGGATTTGGTTCAAAACGTGATGAGACACCTAGGGAAAGAGGAGCTTTGCTCAAAAATAGATTTTCAAGATGGCTGTTGAATTTAAAAATAACCACCATTTATCGTAAAAGACTTGATAAATCGAATTACAACGGACAGATCTTGACATTTTTGAAGGAATATTCAATGGCAGGTGAATTTAAAAAATAGCCCCCATTTTTTGAAAAACAACACAATCTTTGATAACTCAAATACCAGTTACTCATTTGGTTTATATGCTGATGAAAATAACATGGTACTGCGGTCATGATAACAAATAATTGTATGTCTCAGCTTTTTTTTCACGGGTCAAATAAAAAGAATTTCATAGGAAGGCTAAACTGCACTGAAAATACACACCTATGTTCTTGTTCCGTTGTATTCTTATTTTGTTTTACATCCATCTCACAAAATCTAAAATATTTTCAATGAGGGGCCATTATGAAATTATATTTTGAAATACTCATAAAAATGTTCTGTTGCAACATTTTTAACAAATCACAATCATAAACCGTCTGGAATAAAACATTTGTAACAATGTTTACAACCAGATAATGTTTATATTATGGAAACCGGATTATTGGGATTTGTTGTGCAAAGATTAAATGTTCCAGTAATAGTTGAATTAAATCCACAGATTTTCCAAATGTTTATGTTTTTTTATTTCTACGTAGAAGGTTACTGTAAACTGAAAAAGATGTTAATACATAATATATAATATTTTATTTATATGTCATCTCTGATACGTGTAGTAAGTAACCATAAGAAATGACTTACCTTTTATTACGGACGATTTTTTACTACAATCTGTGTGATTTTTTAAAAATTCAAGATATGAAACCTAAAATGTTCCCGATTTGAGCGAGACAAATGTTTTACAATATACGTGCACGTCGTGCTATTATTATATGGGATTGTGTCGAAATATCAAAAGTTGTTAAAGTACGAAGTTCATTTCGTTAACTTGAGGGGTGGGGGTAGATGACGATAACATGAAGTAAATATTACACTTAGACTGCCTTATTCATAATTGTAGATAGAAGGAGTTAAACAATATTGAAATTCACTTAGTTGTTTACATTGTTTACATATTTGGACACCTTCCCTTCAGAAATGTAAATTACATTGTATGCAAGTAAGTAAACATTTCATCAACAATTAATGACTTGTCTTCAGCTGAAGCGCGTCGAATGAACAACTATTTCGTAATGAAAGTTAGCATTGTGTTTGGCATTCTCTTGGTCATTTCAATATCAGCAGAAGCGAAAAAGACAAAGAGGAAAGGGAAAAAGCCAAGTTTACCTGTGTGTAAGAAAGCGGATATCGTCCAACTTGAAAATGCATTAAAAGCTGATATCACTGAACTTGGTAATACGCTTAAAGCTGGTGACAGTGAACTTAAAAGTTTGCTTGAATCTGACATTGCCGAGCTAAAGAATGATAACACTGAAATCAAATCTGCTCTTAGTGACATGGAGACAAAACTGCTTGCCAAGTTGGGCGAACGTCAGGATAAACTGGCTTTGACAATTGGTAGGTAAACTAGAGGAACGTATATTGATGCAGACGCATTTATTTCAAATAAATAGTAAGACTGAATTCTCCAGATAATTCGTCTTTGTGTTAGAAGGAACAAAATTGGTACGCCTGTAGTTGACTGTTTTTTAGTAAATGGTTCAAGTGATCGATATTCAAATCTGGGGACATATTCTTATGGCCGTCGTTTGCAACAATTTACCACATGAGAAACTAGTAGGCCTACGTTGCTCTTATTTTTTAGATTGAAAGTGAAGGGATATCACCACAGGCTGGTATCGAAATATTTGTCCGCTGTGACGGAGCATGCTATTTTTCATAAAAACACTAATAATACTTCACGATTTATTTTTTAACTCATAATATGTTTCGTTATACCATACAAAATTACTTACTCCATGCAATGGATATATCATTTGCGGGTAACTCTCACTTCTGTTTGAAGTCCAATTACGCTGGGAAGAAAAGCTATTGAAAATGGCGCCGGGGTATCATACTTCAAAATGTACCATTTCTTGTTTAACTTTCTAATGGCACGATCTTGTGACACGATAATATTTACACATGGTTTCAGCATAACTATGAAGGTATAAATGAGATGTTGATGTATTTGGTCTTTTTAATTCTTTTATAAAAAATAATGTTTAATTTTTTTGTCCGCTGTGACGGAGCAGTTGCAAATGTGAACTGTGAAAATGCTCCGTCACAGCGGACAAAAAATATTAATATTATTTTTTATAAAAAAATTAAAAAGACCCAATGCATTAATATCTCATTAATACATTCAGAGTTATGCTGAAAACATATGTTAATATTATCGTGTCACTATATCATGCCATTAAAAAGTTAAAAAAGAAATGGTACATTTTAGAGTTTGATACTCTGGCGCCGTTTTCAATAGATTTTACTCCTAACGTTATTGGACTTCAAATAGAAGTGAGGTTACACGCAAATGATATATCCATTGCATGGAGTAAGTAAATATCTTTGAAATAACGAAACATATGAGTTAAAAAATAAAACGTGAACCATTCTTGTAGTGTTTTTATGAAAAATAGCATGCTCGGTCACAGCGGACAAATCTTTCGATACCAGCCTGTGATCACGGCTCACTGGTATTTCAAATAATCTTAATTATCCTCGTAATAATTCACCAAATGGTGAAATAATACTGAAACTTGTCATTATTCACTTCAGATTCGCATTGGAGGGATATCACGGGCGCATGCATAGAAAGCAACAACAACCGCATTATCGATTCAGTCGGTACCATGGACGATTGTAAGAAGCTATGTGAAAACGAAGAAGATTTTGAATGTCGGTCCATAGACTACCATGCTTGCGACAGACGATGTCAACTCTCGGTGAAGTATTCGGGGAATAATCCGATAAAGGACCCCTGCCATGCTGGCCCTAAGTGGAACTACGCCGAGTTGGTCAAGCTTCAAAATCAACAATGCAGCTACAACTTGGTAAATGGTAAGCTAGGTTCTGTGTAACAATGAAATATTATTCATATTCAAACGCTAATGAATAAGTATGATTTATAGATAGCATAATGAGAGAATAGGCCTAGTGAAAAAAGTTCTCAAACAACTATCAATGAAATTTTGTTTAATGAATTTGCAGAAACATAACCCTGGTAAAATGTATTCTGGGGTCATTTTATAGTCGCCGTTTTTGTGAATGAGGTTCTGTTTCGGCATTACATTTTTGCAACTATTTGCGATAATCTTCTTTAGCAATACATGTAGTTCACCAGATGGTGAAATGTTAATACTGAGCCTTCCCATTCAGTGTAGGTCCTAAGGGCCGGTCCACTGACCAATATACAGGTTACTTTTGATACGGACCAGTTGAGTTTTTTACAAGGTCTAGTATAGGAAAATAACATTGCAAATGGTCCGTTATGCCATTTTGATCAGCAGGTTTCAGATCCTTAGAGCCTACATCGTTCCTATTATTTATTTTAGACTCGAATTGGAGGGATATCACGGGCGCGTGCATAGAAAACAACAACAACCGCATTATCGATTCAGTCGGTACCATGGACGATTGTAAGAAGCTATGTGAAATCGAAGACGATTTTGAATGTCGGTCCATAGACTACAATGCTTGCGACAGACGATGTCAACTCTCGGTGAAGTATTCTGGAAACAATCCAATAAACAACCCCTGCCATGCTGGGCCCCTGTGGAGCTACGCCGAGAGGCAATAATTGACATATCATTGCTTATGGAGCTGTCGCACTTAGCCCATGTAGGGTCGCCGTTCGCCACCGTGTGAATACTTTACGGCAAACTTTGGGGCACCACGGTAGGCAAACAAATCAACTTTTACAGGAAGACATCTTCCGTTAGCCATCACGCCAAAATTAATTAATTAAAAATTAATGCACCAAAAATTAGCCACACGGTGGCGAACGGTGAGTCAACACGGCCAATGTGACAGCTACTTGACATACAGGGTGACGCCAACTATTGCAACCTTCTTATTTCAAGATAATTATTTTAGAACCGGCGTAAAATAGAATATGATTTTGTCCCCTTGGAATATTGCCCTAATTTGAATTGGTACCGATCCCAAGTGTGTATGACTAATAAGCCAAATTATTAGTCATACAAAAATATTGTCTCAATTTGGTACTTGGCCCGGTTCTAACTATTTTTTCTAACTATGGTGTGAATATATGCGACCCGGTGCGGACTATAAATACGAAAAGTTCACGGTGTTGGGTAAAACTTATCCAATGATACTTTCTTGGGATGTAAAAGCTAAAAAAGTGGTAATAAAAAAGTATAGCTATACTATAAGTATGAGTATGCTCATGATTTTGTTTTTGGATTAGTATCAACTGTATGCAATCTCCGAGCTAATCGTTCAGTGCTGTTTTGCCTTTTCTCAGGCTTTATTTTAATTTTAGGGAATATTAAGCTAGCACATTCATGTTGCTTCGTTAGTTAGATGTTGTCATATAAAACAAGAATATTACAGTAGAATATGAGAAATATCTGATATATTAGAGACATATAAAACAAAGTACTCATTCATTGTTTTATATTCTTAAAAGTAGTAGTATTTTGCAATATCAATTTATATGACTTTCTAATTTATTATTGAGAATGTACAGGTATTCACCTAAACATAATGAACTATGCGTATGACATTCGCCGTTTTACCCCACCGGGCCTCTAAAATTCCAACAGGGGGTTTATGCAGGTATATTATATTTTTTACACTTGAAAGCATAGAGCTTTATGGCTTTCATCATCTCAATAAGTATTTGGTTTGGATATTTTCTAATGAGGTGAAGTTTGTTATAATATCTATCCATTTATCTCCATTCTGGTTCTGTTGCCATGACAATACATCATGTATGCTCCAATTAGTGCTTAGTAACCAGAGCGCCCCTTGACTTTGCTTTGTACATTTATGCCATACTATGACGTCATAAAGACGTTTTAATAAGCATGAATACCTACATATCTGATGACCTTGAATCCCAATAATTTTCACGTGATAATCAGTTTTCCCAACTATGGGAACTGTCCCAGTGTTTATTTCTTCGTTGTATCGAAGCATTTGAGTTTTGTCATCTGGGTATCTGTATATGAATCTAAGTGGAGGGTGCTGCCACCTAGTGTTCAAACAAAGAAGTGCTAGGTTTATTATAACCTGGTCATCAGCTTTATTCGGCAGCTTTTCTGATATTTTCCCGACCACGTTCCAGAATATAGCTACAAATACAGAAGATAATCAAGTTAACTAATTGTTAATGCACTGTACAGTGTATATCCAGTGGCGTAGCGTGGGTATTTTGTGAGCGAACCGAACAAGCTTTGGCGGGGAGAGGGGTTCTCCTTAAAGAAAATTTGAAAATTAAATTACATTTTAAGCGTTCTTGGCCTATAAAATAATTTTAAAGTGTGGGGGAACTCAAAAATAAAAATCTAAATTTTGAGAGTACACCATGTCGTTTTATGCGTATATGCCATTGATATCAATTGTTTAATTTTTATATGTAGTTTATGATTCTATATCGATTCTGGGAATATTAGTGTCAACTTTTATATCACCCATGCAATGGGATGGGACAAAATATCAATTTGGCGTCAAAATGAGCGGGCAGACTGCAGGAAAATGTTGACTTCTTAGAGCAGACTAATTTTAATTTGTTTTCCTATTCAGGCAGATTGATTGTAGGATGCAATTTTCAATTTTCAATAGAGAATTATACAGGATTCGTTATTCCTTAATTAAAGAACGGCTATGCTGTAATCTGATTGGATGAAAGATTAATAGATCACGGTCATGTTTGAATCATGATTAATCCATTGATTATTTTATTACTCATGTTTTTGACTTACTATTGTTTAGAGATGACCTCATAAGTACCATTCCCATATTTATTGGGTTTAGTTGCCAAAAGGCGTACAGATATCCTGGAACGCGTGCACTCTGAGAACCAATCAGATCAGCGTTAGGAAACCTGTCGAACACGACGCTTGGGTTTTGTAGAGGCAAAGCGTCAGTATCAAACGTCACAATGTCATAGCCGAAGTAATTCACCAATCTCCATAGTAACACTCTTGTAATCCACATCATCTGTCGGCTTATCTTGTCATTATTGAACTTCATTGTGACGTCATCATAACTACGAAGCTCATCAACGTCGTAATGTAAACAAATGACGTTTATATTTTTAACATTTAGAAATTCACAAACTTCAATATCTCGACTATACACGAGTATTTCACCAATAGGTGGGACACATAGTTGCCTAGCAATGAGAATCCAATTAATAAGAGAGGGGATATAATTATACGTGATGCCAATACTGTATATCATTTTGGTGGGAAATAATTCCAATTTATTTCGTAATTCTGAGAAGAACCTCGTGTGTTTTAGTTCTGAGAAGGGCTTAAAGAAGTTTTCAAATGGTATGATTATTTTGTCCCGGGGATTTGATTCTAAATTTTCAATTATTGGTTTGCAAATGTATTGCATTTTTCTCTCACATACATCTCTCACGGCTTCACTTTGGATGATCGATGATTTGGTCAAAACATTTTTTATGTTCAGCTCTGCCGGAGTAGGCTCGCCATTAATTTCGGTATTGTTTTCTTGTTGAGTCCTAAATCTTTTCAAGAATTCTGCGTAATTGTCTGCAAGGTTATTAATAGCTTTGATTTCATCATGGCTGGCTTCATCTGGCCTCCACTCAGTACAATTTATGATATTTTTTCCTTTCTTTGTAATATTAATGAAATCTGGTAATTCGATTTCAAACGGGGCTTGTTTGTCCCTGTATGTAAACGTCCAATTGAAAACGGTATAATCCAAATGCTTAACACTTATGTATTTCAAATCTTTGAAATCTAAAACAAAACTACAAAGTAGTAGTCCTGTTAGACAGACAAACATTACAATAAATATAAATCTTCTTTGTATGGTTGAATTACACGCTGCTATATACATTGCGTTTGTGTTTGACATTCAATGGACATACGCAAATATATATGAGTTAAAAGAATCTCATTGAAATGGAAAAATATTAGTTTTTGCTATAAATCATCAAAATATCGACATACTGAACTTTTCTAAAATGTTAGAGGTCGTTAAATTCAAATTTCTGGTAATCGATGATATAATATGACAAAATGTTATTGTAACATTTCAATATTTTAAACGTAAACATGTTGTGCACTTGTTTACTTTGAGGCCAAAAGACATGATTCGTTGTTTTTCGTCTACGATTATACATTTTGATTTTCTGTTTTTAAAAAGATCTCGAAAATTTGGTCATTCTCTGGGGATATACACGAACAAATCCTTCTTTAAGTGACTAAGCATATTGAAGAGCTAAAAATAAAACACACGTTTAACTGCCTTAGTCTCAGGTTCAGAGAACGTCAAGCCTCGGTCATATTCGCTCTACGGCGGCCGAACGGCGATAGTAGCTTCACAAATCGATATAGAAAATCGACATTGTACTGCGTAGGTCATATTTGCTCTACGGCGGCCGAACGGCGATAGTAGCTTCACAAATCGATATAGAAAATCGACATTGTACTGCGTATCCGTATATTTTATGCAATTGCCATAGAACAAATGTTACTAATAGGAATGAGCAACGTGTACACGTTTTACAAAGGTTTCTTAAAACAATTTTTGAATGAATAGATGGCGTATACGGTCGCATATAGACCAGAACATCTTTTATTTACAAAAATAAGACACGAGCATATTTACTTACACGTCGCCAAGTTTTACACGATTTCAATCGAATTGACGATGTTCGATAATAAATATTGCAATTTGCTTACAGAATATAATATTCGATTTTTAAAAAGCACAAATACCTTTCTCCGAGCTTTAAACTTGATCTTCCCAAACAAAAAATATTGCCCTACATGACCGAATATGAGTTGTCATAGCAACCATAACTTTTGACCAATCAAAGCAAAGTTATTTGATTTAATGAAAACCTAATGAACAACCAGCCAGTCACAGTCACAAAATGATGTTAAACATCATCAAGTCTCACAAAATCACTTGTTTATGGCAGTGTCCGATGTTTTCACAACGTAACCGTGAACGCAAAGTGCATGAATCAATACAGTTATGTGAATAGCGCGCATACAAAACAAGCGCTACTTAGTCTACTTCAAATCCCGATCAGTTTCAGTTTCGTGTTTACAACGGGAGATTTGAAATTTCACGTTGGTGTCAACGCCCGGGTGTCAACGGGAATCATAATACTCATGTCTATTGAATATTATGCTGGCAATTTTGATTTAGATGTACAGCATAATGCTTCCTGAAGAAAATGATGCATGTCAAACATGTTTTAGCTCCAAATATCTTACTAAACGAGCTTGTTAAAATATATATCATAGAACTAGCTATATAACTATCAATGGCATATTACACGATGATGTGTAGTCTATGCAGCGGACTAAGAAAAATACTATAACTGAACGACTATTTATGTGAGAGAACTACATGCAATTGTATAGGGCGATCTATACGTCAGGTTGACGTTTCGATTTTATACGCATTGCTCAAAGTCTCCATTAACCAAGGGCGAACGAAATACCCTGAACCTGCCTCGTTCGCAATTTCAATGTATTTGGCGTTCGGCCTTTTACTGTATACTGTTCTATCAACCAATGAATCATATTGATATGGTCATGGTTGACTGAATATCCATGTTGTTCAGTGTTCATTTGAATGTTTTTTTTTTTAAATGATTTCCAAACTTTCAGTCCAATCCCTCCAGCCTTTTTGTTTTTATAGGGTTCTTCTGACCCCTGGATAATTTCATTTGCGTTATCCACAAGACTTCTGTTCTGTGCAATTGTAAATGCACTAATACAGGCTAAATCAGTCGGGAACATGCAAAATTCGATAGCTGAACAATTTTGGGGTAATTTGGTTTGGTTTTGGGCCCTAGTGATGCCAATATAGCAAATCACCAAGTCAAGGTTGGTTATTTGTAGCAATTGCGCAAATAATTCGTATACTCTTGTAAGTATGATAATTTGTTTATTTGCAAAAAAGAACACCATTAAATTTTCGTTTTTCACGAAATTTTGATGACCAGACCAACTAGCACGGTCTTTTGTGTGAGTTAATTGAATATGTTCCTTTGAAAATGGTTTTTGGTGGGTCTAAAAGTGTCAAAATGTCAATAATTTGTACAGTGTGGCACATTCGAGGTATGTACCTTTTAATTGGGCAAGGATTGCACTGATTCCTCTTTTAAATTGGCAGATATGTAGACATTTGGGCCGAGAACTGCTATTTTAAGTGAAAAAACGAAAATTGCTGAATCAGCAGAATTTAGATCGTTGTCTCCTGTAGTTAAGGGGTTAATTTGCAAAACTCGAAATTTTCACACAGAAAGACATGCAAAATAGGACTAAATTCAATATATTTTTCGAAATTCATTGACAAATGTGGGTTCTATATACGGCCAGATAATTTATTGAATTAAAATCATGTTAATAATTTGTTATCACATTTACTTAACACATGCAGCTCGAATTATATAATAAAAATGTAGGATATATATTTTTAAATACTTTTTCTGCACCCCCTCCTTTGAAAAAAGGCGAACTCTTTTCTTATAATTTAGTTTTATACATGATATGTCATGTTTATATCTAGACATTTTAAATGTATGTAAAATCTTTGACGTACGAATCTGTACAGTTCAAAATCGTCTTTTAACAAAATTTTCAACAGACTGATGCTTTGGTCGCTAGGTCTGACCTTTTCCTTCTTTCCAACGTTCTTGTTCTTTTTTAAAGATCTGTACGCATTGGAGAGTTCATTCGTATATCCTGGCAAAATTGTGTCCAATGCCATAAGTGAATCAGAAAAGTTTTCAGTTAGCCCTATAAAGGTATAATACTTTTCAATGTTGGTTTTTGCTCTTTCCACCGACACTAAAGATAAATTTGTGTATTGTCCAGAAAACCATACAGGGTATTTGTATTCGACAGGTGCTACCTTACATCCCTGGTGTGGTCGCGACTTTAAACATTCCGCCGTATCCTCTATACTCTTACCAAAGCAGCGGGTCTCGTTTATCCATAACTGGATGCATTCCTCAATAGTTTTATTCATGTCGCTTTGTGTAAGATTATAACGTTTTACATGAACGGAATCCGGACCTGGTTCAAGACTAAAGTAAAATAATGAGATTATTCTTTCTATTGGTTCTCTTACCATATCAATGTAAAGCGGTTGCATGAATCCGAGTTCCTCAAAATTAAGAAAAGATATATGTCCCATGTAAATGTACGGCCTTCGTGGAAGAATTCTAGTTGTAATATATTTCTTTTTCTGATTATCACTTTGTAACTCTTCAACTCGAGGGTGTGGCTTTACTCGCTTAATAGTGTAGTGTTTTATTATCTTACGTGTTTCCAGGAATACAAGGACAAGCGTCGAACTGCCACATTTAGGCATTTTACTATAAATTATAAGAGAATTATCACGGTTCTTTTCCTCATAACCTATGAGATTTCTTGATTCTACGTTGCACTGGGGAACAGTTGATTTATTCCCAATTTCTTTGCCGTAATTTTGAAGTAGCTTAAATCCTTGTTGATACTTTACTTTTTCATTGACATCATTTTCCCAAGATGCATGCATACAAAGCACCAATATTACGACCATTGTTAAAATCATGACGGAGATCAACGTTCTACCACGCCACATCTTTGATGCTGAGTTCATTTGATGTTGTGTTGCATTGAATCAGACTGGATCACAGGACCTACACGTGTTTGTTTGCTGATTTTTCAAATGACCAATATATTGGTGTTGAAGATCCCTTTATATATCAAAATAGAATAAAATAAGATTTTGATTTAACCGACACATGATCGTCATATAACTTAGTCAACCAACCTTAATCCAATTTGTAACTGTACTTATAACCAATACCCACCAATACGCAATGCCTACTTCTAGAGCTTCTCGCGAATAGGCAAATCAAAAATTTAAAACAGTAGGAGAGCGGGGTAAGACGGAACGCGGAGTGAGACGGAACGATGGCTTTTTATTAAAGTATTTGTTGAAGCCGACAAGAAAATTATGGTTGAACAGAAAGATCACTTTATATATTTTCAAAAAAAGTTTACTTCAATAACCTCTTTTAAACAATTATTCAATAAAAATCCATCGTTCCGTCTCACCCCGCGTTCCGTCTTACCCCGCTCTCAACAGAAAATAAAATAGATACACATTTAACATATCTAACGAAGCACTCCTCTATATTGACAGTTGATTTCACAGTGCAGCTTCAAATGTATATTTCTAAAAAATGAAAGTTGATGCGCTTGAGCTGTTTTCACAATATTAAAGCACAGAATCTCTTCGTCATCAATGTCTAAAAATGAAACATGTAAAAATACATAAGTTAAAATATGATGATTTTTGTGTAACTTGAATTCGTTCGGTAGGCACGCTACTCTGTGGTGTTGCTGTTTTTCTTGTTCAATCCCTTTCAGATGTTTTCGCACATTGAGCGTTAATTGAAGTCTTCGAAATTAACACCCACTGGCCAGTGGCCATTATAAAGAGGGAGAAAACGCTATTATACAGCCCTCTTTCAAAAAAAACGCCCATGGGCCTATCTTTTTTAATTATTAGTATATTCAGCTAGCGGAATGTGTTTTAAATCATCTGTGTTCTGTAGGGTTCTTACATATGTAAAGGTTGTTCTTGAGACTGCACACAAATTCAAAATTGACATCTCAACTGTGTGCCAGTTCAAGAAGAAACTTGAGATAAGCTGACATCAACCACTGATGAATATAGTTCGTCTTCCAATAAAACCCGTGCGACGTATCAACAATTGGCAGTACTATTTCCAATTCTTTTGACCATTTGGAATTTACAATTTTCCTGTTATTTCCAAGGTGAACTCTTTATCAAACCCTAGTTGTCTGTTTCATTCTATTTTTTTCTATTCTCACTAAGCTTAATGTAAGTTGTCTTTTTAATAATTAGTTTTGAATTGTGTAACATGAAAACGTGTTTCGTCCTTCTAGGCCTATTCGCTACTGTACTGATGTTGACAATTATAATTTAATTTAAGTCTAAATAAAAACACTTCTACAATTTCAGAATCTGACAACTGTCACATGCTTTGCTGGACTAGTTCAAGCACATAAATCATTGTATTTTAAAGAAAAGTAGATTAATTTTTAGCTTTTTGGATATGTCTGGGTTATAATAGAATTCCAAATATTTTGGATACGTGCTTTCCTATCCGATCCGTTATTATCCATATGAAGATTCCTACACCTCTCTCAAACATGGTTTCATCTATGATTAACCACGAGTGAGCCACGAGTGAACCACGAGTGAGTCACGAGTGGACCACGAGTGTGCCATGAGTGAACCACGAGTGCACCTGTCTTATGTCTATGGGGAGCAGCAGCCGTAAAGTTCCCATCTTAGGGACATCCAAATGTACCACAACTGAGGCGAAAGACGTACTTTCCGCGCAACAATAGGACTTTGGAAATCATGTCTTACGAGGGTATGCCTGTCAGTGTTGCCACTAAATCGCTGTAAACAACAAAATCAAAAGAAGAAATGACCGTGTATATTAAATGTATTGATACAAGGAAAACCAGATAAAAGAATATGTTAGAATAATGAGATATAATGAACTAGCTTCGAATCACAATTTTTATCTATTCAGAATCGGGAGCTAAAACCAACATGTCACTATGAATATATTTCTATTAGATGCACATTATTGTAAGAGTGCCACTGTTAAAATGTATATGTCTAAATAAATAAATAAATGAATAATCTGCTTTTTATTGTTAACTTTCTTCTTTTGAGCAACACCATGTTAGCCAAGTATCAACGGTACTTTTTTGTTTTAATAATCGGTGGTGACAACTTATATATACAAGGCATTGATATGCAAAATGTCACCACCTGCCATTTGTTACAGACGTCCACAGCAAAACGCCGACCACATAAACGTTGGAGACTTTAACAAAATGTCACCACTTGTGGTGGTGACATAAAATATGTCTGTCAATGTAATGTTAACATAGATCAACTACTTACACGGTCTAAATACTTGAACGTTGTACCATTAGAACTGTATGAAATGTCATATAGCGTGGTCCATTAATAGACGATATTTGAATGACGTCCTTTGGTCCCAACACCCGTCACTCGCATTGTTGAACCGAAGTCCACCTTAAATGTTGATTAAATGGGATCAGCACAAAAAATATGATTTTGAAATACACCGTGATGTGGAAAAGGACGGCCTTTTTAAATGGAACCACGAAGAAGGCGTCCCTTTTTCATTTCATCCTTAAATCGACTAATTATTTTGAAATATGGTCCATTCAAAAACGATTTTTCCAGATATTGTTTGATCTATTGGTCTCTCATTAGGGGGACCCTTGACTCCGTTATCACCTTACCTCAGATTAGCGATTTTTCAAAAATCGCGGCCCATTTTCTTAAGATGTGCAGTGAATCGTTTAAATGAAAAAGGAAACGACCACTTTTTCAATTTACAAATCCAAACTCGATTTTAAGTGACAGATGTGACGTATAGAAATCGTATTTAACATAGCTTCAAATAATAGAATTAATGCCACTGACTTAAAGGGCGCAATGATAGCCTAGCAAAGGTTATGGGAATCTGTATAATGTCTTCTACGGTCCTTGTTTTCTCTTTAAGCCGGCCTTCGATATAACTAACTTCTATATTTGATCAGACACTTTGAAAAGTTTTCCATTCAGATTCATTTAATCGAGAGCTCTGTTTCCCAACTTAGATGGAAAAACCCGTTTAGTCCTGCATCTATTTTTATTTTCTTCATACCTGTATCCACTGATTTGTGTTGCGTATACCCGCAGCCCATGCAACATCATTCAGCCTCGAACGAACTGCGTCCGTATCTACATTAAATCTTGAAGAGGCAGATAGTGCCGAGTCAGGGACCGGCGATATCAATCCAGACTCCAAATAACATCCTGTATATTTATAAAAAATCATTTGGGGCAACATAATTGTCTCGGGTTATATGAACCTCAAACGATAGTTGAAAAACCAGAGAACGAAATAATAAACGGAAATGTATCCTCGATAAGAGAAGCGGGCCGAAACCAAATGGGAATGCGGCAGAACTATAAGCCGAAAAATGGTTATTGAAGTTATTGAAATTGAAGTTATCACCTGGACAGACAAACGAACTGACAGACGGACAAAGAACTTTTCAATATCGAACTGACCGACGGACAAAGGGATTTTCTATATGCCTACTCGATTTTAATTCGATGGATATGGGTTCTAAGTGACTAGAAATCTTAACTTACTGTTTATTAAAAAGCTAAATTGCAAAAACGAGAAAACAGAAAAAAAGTTTTCACATTGAGTACGTGTGATTGAATCCGTAGTGGACTTTCTTTTTAAAAAAATGTCTAATAATGATTATTTCAATATATTTTAGTCATAGTATCATAGGACTACCTTACCTTCTCTTACGTAATGATCAACGTCAAGAGATGTCGAGTTAGTTGGCTGTTGTGCTACGCAGGGGCCAAATAGCTCACACGAGTATTTGAATGTATCATCATTAACTCGTCTTAGTTTATACGAGTCGCACATATCAGGTATTGCAGAGCAGGTTGCCTCACATCTTGTATTGGTCAGAACTTTCAGCGTCTTCAACGGACTCCCCAGTCTCTCGGCATTTGGGAGTTTTTTGTACGACAGTATGTGCGGCTGATGTTTGGAAAGATCTATGGCTACATTTACGCTGTCTGTTTTGACAAATGAAATTTTGAAAAAGAAAAAGAAAATGACGATCGCATTTAAAACAACTCCCATCTTCCATATCTCACTTGAGGGGTCGTAGGTTCGATCCCCATTAGAGTTGACGAACTTTTGCACATCCATCTTTAGCGCAGAATATCATGTTGTATTTTCATCAACTCTACGTGACTAACTAAACGTAACTGAATGCGTTTGTGCAAATTGCCCCTTGCTTTTATGAATAAATCATTAGAAATGTTCGAGTATTATCTGGAAGTCCGAATTACAATCACGTCAACACGAAAATGTTCTACATACAATTGTCAGGTTTCACAATTAAGTGGAAAAGTTTCACCATTTCGATCTCACGTTGGGGTACCAGAGTGATAAATTAGGGGGCGTATTATCTCTAAAATTAAAACAACAGTTTTTCATTTTTGCGAACTGGAGAGTTTAATTTTTTAATTCCTAAGGCCCTCTCATGTTATTTTCGTTTATTGGTAGATTTGCGGCTGGCTTTATTTCATGAAAAACCAATGCATGGTATGATGTATGTATGCGTGCAAGGTGGTTTCATTGTTGATGTATAATTGATCGCAATCAATAGTGTTTAACGCTTTTAATATATCATCTGTATGAAATCATTTCGTTAAACTGAGCGCTGTTGTTCTAGCTAGGTCATAACAATGCACTTGCAAAACGGTGTGCGTGTGTAAAAATTCTGATATTTAGTGTTTTTAGAGATAACAATCAATCCATGACGAAGCCGACGGTTTTGTTCTGATAATGGACAATTAAAGAATATTGCTGATGAGAGCAAAAACATTTTGTTGCAGGCCCACATAGGTGAACAGTCCATTGCATTTCATTGTCATACTCGGGGTTATACTGATCCATTATATATTCGTAATCTGACCTACTTTTGCGAGTTGACCTACTTTTGCAATTTAATTTATTTTTATTAATATTACTGCCAAATAATACGAATGATATTAGACTTTAGTGATGAATGTCAAAAGAAATCTTCATAAACCCATATGCATAAACGTCATATGCATTGCGTACTGCAATCAAATTATTTGTATCTTACTTTCTAAAAGTTTGATAATAAAATCAATATTTTTCACTGAAGTCTGAAAGCCGGGATATACATTCCATAGAACATTGCAAATGTTTGGCTTCTTGCATGTTCAATTGCAATTGCTATGCTCATTCAATTGTGCATATTCAGTTATCATATTGGATTATATGTGTTATACCGATCCATGTTAAATTTGACGTGTCTTATTATGTCTTATCAACTTTTGTCATTTGACCTACTTTTCATTTTGATCTATTTTATTTCAATAAAAATGACCGCTAAATATTACGAATAATAATGAATACCAAAATGATGTCTTCAAAAAATATATTTCATATAGCATATCCAATTGTTTTAATTTGTGAATAAACAAAACTGAGAAACCCAGGAATGAATGAACAGGGCATCACACAAATACAAAATCTCCATCTACAGTCGAGTCCCAGGCTATCACGTTGACGCCGCAATTGCAATTGTAGTTTCCCGAAGACATAACAAGACAATGGTACGGTTTATGTAAAGAATGGCCGGTTGTTGTTTTTGAAGGCTCTCATCATATTATTGCAAAGATTTGTTTTGCTTTTTTTTATCTATACAACAACCGTAAACAATGAGAATATTAAATAAAGCATTACAAATTGATGTAATAATTGATTCTTTTCATCAAGTTTTCGAATTGTTATAACATTTCGTGACTCTCCGTACATGAAGTATTTCATTTCTCATATTTTAATTGGGTTATGCGAACAGAAAATCTGAGTCATTGACGTATAAATGATTGGACTTGTGATAAATGTATAGTTACTTTTGAATTCCAAATTAACGTTATTACTTATATCGTGCCAATCCAGATACCCTTTGCATTCGTTCGACTTCACTTCTTAAAAGAGAGATTCGTTCATTAAACTCTGCACGCAGGGTACAATCCAGGGGAGAGCGTTATCAAATTGAGCGGTGAAAGCTTTGTCAAAATATCGTGTCTTTGTATGTATGATGCCCCGGATAGAGGTCCATGATGATACACTATTGGGGTTTCGAGATACCAATTTTTTCACAAAACAATCGATAATAGGTCAATATCCCCAGGTTTTGTTTTATAATTTGTCTTTTTGCTATGTTTTGAGCTCATCCTTCCTTGGTCACATTTGCTCGGATCTTGTTAATTTAATCAAATTTAAAATTAATCTTAATTTGTTCAAAACTGATCGAATACAATTTTGAACAGCGTCAGCTGATGAATCGGAGCAAATGTAACTCGGGGATTAACAGAGAGTGAGTGTAGTGAGTGTAATGAGTGCAGTGAGTGAGTGATTGTTTCCAAACCAATTGGTAGGAGTCTCCATGCATAGTACACGGTTCAAACACAGGTCAGTCACCACATGCACGCGATATGGAATTAACCTAATATGATACCTTGACGGCATCTGTAGCCGCTTATTTTGACAGAAAAATTCAAAAATATTATTTGATTCATGTTTTAAGCTTATAAATATAGTAAGCATACATATTTAAAACTGATTATATCTTGGTTTGTACTTTTTTTTTATTTAAATCGGATAATATTGATTTTTCAAATGTGCCAAACTGAGAAAAACAACTTGTAAATGGACAGATATGAAATACTGAATTTAGTAAAAAATACACAGAAAAATATCTGTAGTACATGTATCAAAAGTTAACAGTTCAAAGGATGTTTTCTCGATTCCAAGCAGGGCGAATGGACTGTATCAACACCCTCTGTACTGGGCTTTATGGAATTGCGAAGCCAATGACAGTGGAGAGGTTAAGCTAACGATGTTTTTCACAACGTAACCGTGAACGCAAAGTACAAAAATTAACAAAGGAATGTATCGAGCGCTCATAGTTTTATACGCGCTTAGTCTACTTCGATCAGATACTCTTTCGGCTTCAGAGTTTCGGGTCAGAACGGGAGATTTTGAAATTTGACGTTGGGTCAACGGGAACCATTTTACTCGTGTCTATTGAACACTATGCTGTCAATTTTGATTTCGATGCACAGTTGAATTCTTGCTGAACACGATGATGTATGTCATGCATGATTTAGCGCCAAAAATCTTACGAAACGAGCTCGTTTAAAATATGTATTAGAAAACCAGCTATAAAACCGCATCAATGACATTCTATAGAATCATTACACGCTATGGTGTAGTCTAAACAAACACTGGATTTGAAGGGCTATTTATATGAGAAGGCTACATGAATTTGTATATGGTCGAGTGATACGTACAGGTTCAGTTTCGATTATATATGCAAAGCTTAACCTCTCAACTGTATTTCAATTACACCTAACCATGTTCCTCGTGACCCCTGTAATATTTTGTAAGATTATTAGTACAAATTGTGTTACAATTATTAATGGGTACCCCGAGGGTTGGTCAGATATTAACAAGTAATAACTGATTTACTTCTTTCCTCCCTGATTCCCTGATTCGTTAATCCGCCTTTGGCACCCTTAGCTCAGTCCGAAACAAGGTGAATGCACTCAAAAAATCAATTGAAAATTGAAAAAAATCAATATTCAACAGCAAAGATATATAATTTAGCATGTTTCAACATGTTTCTTCTCTGAAATAAAAAAGTAAATAAAAAGATATATAATTTCACCGAGGATCACCCGATCAAAAGTTGAGAAATATAACTGGAGTACAATTTAGTACATATGCCGTATTTTCCCGAACGGTTGGCAATATTGAATGAGCCTTTCGTAAATGAGAAAGCAGGACAGTATTCGAAATATCCGTCAAATATTTGTTACAGAATTTAATGTACATCTTTGCTTATCAGTCACAGTCACGTGATTCGTAATTTACTCCTCCCAGAGGAGGTGGTTTCCAAGATATGGCAATGTCTTGAAAATGATCTTCTTCGTTGATTTCAGTCATGAACATAATGCGCATACAGCCCTACTGTCCCTGTTACATATTCAGGCAACAATTTTTAGCTGACGCCTCTTGAGTTATTCAAAATTTGAAAACTCTCCGGCCACGTAGGCGCTATTGATTTCAACTAAATTAATCCACAAAGCTGTGACCCAAAATCATTTGAATAAACAGAAAAATCGTTTAAATAACTGTAAACATTCAGCAACACTCAAACATTTTGGGAAGAAATCTGAATAAAGACAAAGGTAGGTCATTCACTTAAATTACTTAAAATGTTACAATTGTAATTTAATTTAATTTCAATATATATGAACCTAAAGTGGTCTATTGAACAAAAACAAAAAAACTGTGTTTCTATGTAAGTTCATCTCCATGGTTTATATAACAGTTCCAAATAACTTTATTTATTTATTTAGAGAAAAACAGTTTTATTATATCAAGACTCTCGATTTATATCCACAAGTCTTTTTCAAGATTGAATTGAAATAAAAATATTGTATACAACTTTGTAAATACCATGTCACTTGTTGAGAATTAATTTTATATACAATTAAAAATGGCTAACAAAGATGATGCTAAGTAGAATATACAGTGCGTCTCAAAAAACGCAACAGATAGAAACATTGCAATAAGTCAAAACCAGTGATAATTTTTTTATTTATTTATATAAAATTGATGTACGAGTCAACATGGTGTAATATATTAAATACAAGAGAGCATATTCAGTGCTAATCACCATTTTGGCATTATAAGCACTCTAGCCTAGCGGGGAAAAAGTTGAAGAGGGGGTGGAAGGGGGGGGGGGGGGGGGGGGTCTGAGCTGGGATAATAATATCTATTTCACTAAATCTACCATGAAGCTCGAGTCTCCTCCTCTTTCCAATGATATATCATTTTTTCATATCCGATCATTTACCACTGAATAATCATTATTTCTTCGTACATTGATGAAAATGCCTTTGTGCCAAGTTATGGAATTTCCTAAATCAACTAATCCTTATTATGCAATCAGATAAAGCATTATGTTATGAGATTAGGATTAACTTATGGTCACAAGACTTAATAACATGCATTTCAGACTTAGTTCTACTTAGGAAAAATATTTTTTTTACTTTATGTGCTCATCACACGTCACACATAAAGAAGTGACATTATTGAAACAATTAAGCCACAGTCATTTTATGCCATCTAATGAAACATTACTCTTGCAAGATTACATTCCATGCCCATCATTTCTCTGCACATGGATATTCGCTTCTCTCTCCAGGCACATCTTTTTGAATCATTTGTGATTCTCTGTCGTAGTGTGAAATGCCTAAAACTTGGTCCAGAGCAGATATTGAACCATAGTGCAAAATGAATGATTATTCAGTGGTCCATGGTATCATATGAATGAATGACATATCATTGGAAAGAGGAGATATATGGCTTCATGGTAGGTTAACTAAATGGAATTGATGTAGTTATTAATGATTTCGTGATTTTGCAATGTTTTTTTTGTTGCCCTTTTTAGACACACTGTATAATCAGATCTTGGGACTTCTAGCCGTCGAGAAATTATGTTTATTTAGCCTCATATATGCCTTTTTATTACAGCATTTAACTTCGGATTTGAGTAGCCTACACTCAGTGCAATGAAGATGAAAACGTGTTTTATCCAGGCGTTTGTTTTGGCAATGCTGGCGACCGTAGTAGTTTCGGTGAGATGTATTAATAGTACAATAACGTCATTTCTTAGGGCGATATAGTGAAATATTGGACCGAGGGCCGAAGGCCCAAGGTCCAATATTTCACTATATTGCTCGCAGAAATGACGTTATTAGTATTATTACCAGCGTTAACGACCAGGACTGAAACAGCAAGAAAATCTTACGCATTGAACGATATCTAATTTCCCGGGGAAAATTGCCGGTCCAGAATATATTCTAGACCCAAGGAGGATTGGCTCCCAGAGTGCACCACCGATATTCTGTCCCATATATGGGTATGTCGTAATACAAAATTCGAATTCAAACAGCCGCCATTTTGTTCACTTCAACATTTAAATCGTGAATTTTGGTCTTATTTCCAAACGAAAAATTCCAAAACTCACAAGAAATGATCGAGATATTGGTTCGAATCTTTTGAACTGTTTATTTTGAATTTATAGTCGGTTTTAATTTCAGAAAATAACGACATTTCGACGTTTTCATTGTTGGAAAATATCGAGTTTCGATCCTGGGAGCCAATCCTCCTTGTTCTAGACCGGTTCATATGGACCACCACTATGACGTCACACATTTCTCAGGTCGATATAGTAAAATAAACGCCTTCTAAACTAGCACTAAAACCCCTAGAACTGGCCCGGCAAGGTGGTAATAATAAGTAATAAATATGGAAACTCTATTTTATGTTCATTTTCTCTATTATCCATGCCATTAAAACAACACAATGTAATTTACTTATCTAGCTATTTCATGCTGTACATGTATATAATGTCCACGGCTTTTAACTAGACTGCGCACAGGGTAATACTTGTAGGACTAAAAGTTAGAACACTGGAAATGGCTGTGACTTTTATGCAATCAATTTTAACGTGCCATTCACACGTATACGTTTGAGTTAAACAGGATATGCTTCTTATAAGGATAACCTGAAATAACTAAAATTTCAGGCCGTTCAGACAAAATGCACTTCAGAAATTGCTGCCTTAACTTGAAAACCAAGACAGAATTCATTCAATCTGAAACTAACATACCCTCAGGTACCATTCTTCTCAGAAACTATTACTATTCTTTCTTCCGGTAGAGTGTGGTCGAACGTACATTCACAGAGTCCAAACATAAATATACCGTTTATGAAAACTGTATATTGTATTTCTTCTTATAGTCTAGCGGTAGTAGCAGCAGCAAAGAGAAAAGCGAGGGTGAAAAATGTGGAGAAGTGAAAAAGAATGGTGACTTTAAAGCGAAGGGTATATGTGAAGAAGGTACAAAATGCATGTGTCCAGAAGAACCAAACTGCAGCCGAAAGGTTAAGTGCTACTGTAAAGCATTAACAACAATGGCCCCGTTTACAATACCAACTGAAGCCCCAACAATGGCTTCGAATACAACGCCAACGGAAGCCCCAACAATGGCTTCGAATACAACGCTAACGGAAGCCCCAACAATGGCTTCGAATACAACGCCAACGGAAGCCCCAACAATGGCTTCGAATACAACGCTAACGGAAGCCCCAACAATGGCTTCGAATACAACGCCAACGGAAGCCCCAACAATGGCTCCGTATACAACGACAAAATACGAAAAGGTACGAAAAATTCTGAACGGAATGCGTGACATATACGTTATTCGCGTGAAAAGTCCGAACGAAATGCGTACGTTTTTTTCGGCGTTCGTATTTTTGCTGTGTAGACGAATTTTTTTAGAAATTTTTCTACAGAAATATTTTTGCTTGACAATTAACAGGTAAAATGCGTATTTGCGTGACATTTTCTGTCACGCAAAAATAACTGGCGTGGCTTCAAATTCTTCAGCAAATGCGTGACAAATACGCAAATTGCGGGACAGTTGACAGGCCTGCTTCTAGGGTACCTAGTATGCCACTTAGTATGTATCCAACAGACTGACTAGAAGTCAGTCTGTTATGATGTACTACTTTCCTGTGGAAATTGCAGTGACATTTTTTGCACAAAATTATCAATTAGAGGAACCATTTCTTCAATAAAATAAACATTACAAAATTTCAATAAAATAGTAAGGTACAATTAAATGCAATAAAAAGTAACACAGCATATTGTCAAGTGGAAATAAGGCTAGTTGAAGTAAAAATGTGCAAATTAATTTTACCAAATCGGCCATTTTGAATAGCACTTCCTATGTAAACAAATATCAAAAATTACCAAACTTTAACATAGGTGCCTTATAGTCTGAATATAATTCAGACTAAATAGGATATAGTCTAGTATGCCACTACTTGGTATCAAAATAAAGAGGAGGAGTTCAACTTTCATTTGAATTACGAAAATAGCGATGTAGGTCAAAATAGTTCCGACGTGAGCATGTTTCCTACGCGTTTGCCCGTCATCTCAGAATTGAGGAAATGGTAGCAAACGCGAGTTACAATAAATGGACGCTGATATCTCAAAAAGTAACCTGACTCCCTATAATTTGATGTAGATCAATCGAACCCCTATATGCACAGGTACATTTCGACATATAACACTATTGGGGGTAAGCGTTTTATAGTTGATCACGAACGCCATATGTGCAAAGTATTGTTCTGAATTTTCAAATTTGGTGTTGGATTACTGTACTCATACCACAATGTAATTTACTTATCTAGCTATTTCGTGCTGTACATGTATATACAGGGTGGGCCAATAAAAACTGGAACATTTTTCTATTAATTCTATTCTCTTTATTTTTGCAGTTCAATCCACAAAAATCCAGATACTGGCAAAACGATTATTTGTGAAAATGTTAAAGATAAAAATATGTATCTATGATTAATTTTGGCTTGTCATGGTCATGATCTATATAATGTCAAGGAGGATTGGCTCCCAGAGTGCACCACCGATATTCTGTCCCATATATGGGTATGTCGTAATACAAAATTCGAATTCAAACAGCCGCCATTTTGTTCACTTCAACATTTAAATCGTGAATTTTGGTCTTATTTCCAAACGAAAAATTCCAAAACTCACAAGAAACGATCGAGATATTGGTTCGAATCTTTTGAACTGTTTATTTTGAATTTATAGTCGGTTTTAATTTCAGAAAATAACGACATTTCGACGTTTTCATTGTTGGAAAATATCGAGTTTCGATCCTGGGAGCCAATCCTCCTTGATATAATGTGTTTGTCATGAAAAATTTCCAAATTTTCTCTGCTTGAGACATCATTGCTGAAAATACAGTATCTCATACCATACAATATATGCCCTTCAAATGGTCTCAACACAATGTCCATCAATTAGGCTAATACATATTAATCTCTCAGAGAAGCTATTATGTCTCCCTTGGATAATATGACTTAACAGACTTCAGCTTTTTTCAAAACTGGCACAATATGTCTCAAACCCTGTCATTAAAGCCAATCATGCCTGTCAAATACAGCTCAGACTGATTGTTCACATGGGTGGAGGACATGTTCAGTAATTAAATGTTGAGCTTGTATACATATTCATATTTACAGAATGACAATGAATTGTTTTTCAATTTTCTAAAGTATTGAAGATCATACATGACAGGTTAAATGACAGGTTTTGAGACATATTGTCACTTATTGTGCCAGTTTTGAAAAAGAGTTGACGTAAGTTAAAGTCCCCGTCTAAAGTTTGAAAATATTTTTTTATCATTCATTTACTATTTGTCAGGACTTAAAAAGTGATTTAAGAGATTTTTGAACAAAAAAAAATTTTTGAAAAAAAGTTGTGAGCATTTCATTTCTCAAATATTCAAATTTCCCGCCATTTTTGAAATTTCTTAATCATCAAATATTTCTTAATGCATTTCAAAAAAGATTATCTTTTTAACACCAATGCAAAGATTGAACAAAAGACACACTATTTCAATAATAAAATGTCATATTTAATGGGCCACTTCAATGTTTTAGCTTATCAAAAATATTTTGAAACATTAGTGATGTCACTAAGGTAACAAAAACTTTTTGAAAAAAATTGAATTTTTTTTTCGATGTCAACCTTTTCTCAATCTGCTAGACTTTCATAAAAAACAATGTTGATTGTCTAACCAGGTTAAAAGGAAGAATAAATTATGTTTTAGATATCATTGTACCATTGGTTTCTATGAGAACTAAAATTTTGAAATGCATTTTTCTCAGAACCATTTCCATGCACTGATAAGTTCATTTCTCGCTTGTTTATCAACCGATTTTCTTAATTTTTTCGGCAAAAAACATGGGAGGATGAATGCTATGCATTGGTATGAATTGTGGCTGATTAGAAGATATGAGTGACCTCTAAAAGTTGGCTTTAAATAAATTCACACATTTGGGAACAAAAAGTCTATCAAAAACCCCTTTTTGAAATTAAAAAAAAAAGTTTCACATATCACGCTTTGATAACATTGTGTAAGTCTACAATATAAGCCAAAGTGGTTTAAACTTTACACGGGGCCTTTAAGCTTTATTATTCAAGGTAGACATGTCTTGCTTCTCCTAGAGATAACTACATTTAATTGATGGAATTGTGTTAAAACCATTTGAAGGGTACATATTGTATGGTATTAAAGATATTGTATTTTCAGCGGTGCTGTCTCAAGCAGAGAAAATTTAGAAATTTTTCATGACGCACGCAGTATACAGATCATGACCATGACAAGCCAAAATCAGTCATACATAATCTTTGACATTTTCACAAATAATCATTTTACCAGTATCTGAATTTTTGTGGATTGAACTACAAAAATAAATCAATTTTAACGTGCCATTCACACGTATACGTTTGAGTTTAACAGGATAAGCTTTTTATAAGGATACCCTGAAATAACTAAGAATTCAGGCCGTTCAGACAAAATGCACCCCAGAATTGCTGCCTTAACATGAAAACCAAGACAGAATTCAATCAATCTGAAACTAACTTACCCTCAGGTACCATACTCTGAAACTATTACTATTCTTCCTCCCGGTATATTTGAGTGTGGTCGAACGTACATTCATAGAGTCCAAACATAAATATACCGTTAATGAAAAACTGTTTATTGTATTTCTTCTTATAGTCTAGCGGTAGTAGCAGCAGCAAAGAGAAAAGCGAGGGTGAAAAATGTGGAGAAGTGAAAAAGAATGGTGACTTTAAAGCGAAGGGTGTATGTGAAGAAGGTACAGAATGCCTGTGTCCAGAAGATCCAAACTGCAGCGGAAAGGTTAAGTGCTACTGTAAAGCAGTTACAACAATGGGTCCGTATACAACGCCAACGGAAGCCCCAACAATGGCTTCGAATACAACGGGAAAAAAGCTTTTCAAATAGCATCGGATCGCTTTTCCGCTACACTGTACAATAAAGATTAAATAAAATGTTCTATCTATGAATTACATTTTGTTGATGCATTGGTATTGTTTCGTTGATGAAAATCGCCTGATGAGTAATTTTGAATAAATTCGACTTTTCGATCCAAGTATTCTGAAATGTTATACGTTTAATTTTCTTCATATAGCTGAGCAAGGATTTGAATACTTGTGTCCTTAAAACAGAATACTCATAGCCTTCATAAAGGCCGGAGAATCAGAGGCCTTTATTCTCAAAGCATCGCAATTTTTAGCGATTGCTATGATATAGCATAATACCAAAGCAATCACTATCGCAAATACTTAGCTAACATATAACAATTCTGTACTAATACAGTTTTGATCATTCATTCAAAAATGGCTGCAGATTGCGATTGAATTGCGGACAGGTAGTACACTATCGCTAAAAATTAACGATTTAATAGCGATTGCTAAAGAAAAATAGCGATATAGCAATCGCTAAATTGCATACGTCCCGGGCATACGTCATTGTGAATAAGAGAAATCGCTAAAAATTGCTAAATAGATTGCGATAGCGTCGTAGCAAAATTGCGATGCTTTGTGAATAAGGTCTCTGATCATTACACTTGAGTGTAGCGATGGAATAGAGATGGACGCAATCCAAGAGTGAATAAAAATGGTATCCAGACATTTATTATCTACCCATAGTAATATGGAGAAATAATCGTCGAGTGTCCAACGACCGTATTTTATGTTACATCGGCATTGGAGTAAAGAAAACAGACTTCCTCCACTCATCTAGGAAAAAATGAATGATCAAAACTGTTATATGTTAGCTACGTATTTGCGATAGTGATTGCTTTGGTATTGCTTATTTTACAGCTAGCGTACTTTTGTGAATACCGCGCAAAGCCTCATTACTATTGCTATCACTATCGCAGAGTATTGCTCGACAACCGCAATCGCTAAAAATTGCGATGATTTGTGAATAAGGCCTCATTATGGTTAATATCTAAGGCTTAAGCTAACTCATGGATAAAAATGATCGTCTTAGAATAAAAAATAATTGTGATCCTCTATGTATCTTGCGATGTACTTGTACAAGGTGGTCCAAAAAAGTGAACCCTTGCAACAAGCTATACCTCATTTATTACTTGCATTTGTGGGCTGATATTCTCACGTCATGTTTTAGAGGAAAGTCTAAAGTTTTTGTTGGTAAGGCTTACCATAAAGATCACTCAGTCTAAGTCTTGCAAAAGTTATATGGCATCAACAGACATGCCTGATTATGGATGATGTGCTCAGTGAATGCTCCGTGGTTCTGGAAAACTGCTGCAATGCGAATGTTGAAGTTGATTACTGTTCGTTCCTGCATATCTAAAGTCTATTTCACTGCTTCATTTCGTCAGTAAAACGGCAAAAATAAGAAATTGGGAGACCATTGTGCAATAATATATGGAAAAATATATTCATACTGTACATGAATGACATTTGTATATATCTTGGATTGCTTCTAGTTTGGCTTATAAAGTGTGTGGCCTCTTATATTAGGATGTTTCTCTGCCATGTTATTTTCAATAAGATTAACATGGCTGAAATTCTTCAAATTACAAGACGGCATAGGCTTATTGCACAAAGAACTAAAAAATCTGAAATATACAAATGTCATTCATGTACATTATGAATATACTTTTCCATATATTATTGCACAATGGTCTCCCAATTTCTTATTTTTGCCGTTCTACTGACGAAATGAAGCAGTCAGAAATGGACTCAAGGTGTGATTTGTAATCCTAAAGCATTTTTCTTTATATAAGGAAAGAAAAGTTGTTGTACACTCCAAATACGATGATATGGAATCCCATGTGGGTTTCACAAGGATTCCAGGTGGATCCGCTTCAAGGCATACGTCAGTTCTATGTGGATGTGGATTGGCTGTGTATCTATAATTTTTTGAACAGCAAACAACTTCAACATTCGCATGACAGCAGTTATCCAGAACTGTGAAGCATGGATTGAGCAACCCATTTATCAGGCATGTCTGTCACTGTGGTGCCATGTAACTTCTGCAAGACTTACAGTGTAGGCCTAGACCTGAATGACCCGTTATGGTACTCACAAAAACTATAGACGGACCTTCCTCTTAAACATATGAGAATATTAGCCCATTAATACAAGTAATAACTGAGATATAACTTGTTGCAAGTACTCACCTTTTTTGGAACACCCTGTACATGTATATAAATTAAATCAAACGATCTACGACACTACGTGTACAACTGTACATTGACTTGAAGAACCCTGATGTCTATGAGTATATAAATAAACAAATTTCAGATCTATTTCAAAAGTCGCACTTTGTATTAATTTTCTACCTTACCTCTGAAATTACGATTAAGTGAAATGCCTGAAATACCACATTAGACACAATAATATTCCCGGGCATTCAGCTGCTCACCGGGATTGATCACAGCTGTTTCGTTCAGCGCATCTAAGATGGCAGCCTCCATGGTAAACTGAAATATTTCTATAATATTCCCACTATTTTTCCATTATAAATGCTTTATGTTTGTGTTTCGTAATTCTTAATGTTAAAAGTCAACGTTCATGGTATACCAGGGATGGTACGAGGAGTATTTTGATTCCGTTTTCTGAGGCTTTCAAGAAAAGCAATTTTTCTATTTTTCTTTTTAGCAGAAACTAAAAATTGCTGTGTAACTGTAAAGTTGTTAGGCCTTATAGCCTTGAACCAGGTCTAAGTTATTTAGATAAATTACCTTGTTATCCAGTTTTTTCCTCTTATCTGAAATAGTTATTGTCTAGGGGTAGAATGTCCCATGATTTAGCATATAGTCAAAACAGAAATGTTTGGGAGTACTTTGAATTTAAAAAATAAGCAATCAATTAAATGACCATATTGAAACAGTTTATGTAAAAATAGAAACATTTATATTTATCCTAACTTTTGTATATTTCAGATAGTAATGTATAATGTGCAGCAAAGCTGTGGCCTTTTGTAATTTAGGGAGTTTCAGCCATGTTAATTTTTCCAAAAATAACATGGCAGAGAAGTATCAAAATATGAGAGGACACAGATATGATAGCTAAATTACAAAACAAACTAAAATATACAAAAGTTAGGATAAATATAAATGTTTCTATTTTTACATATACTGTTTCAATATGGTCATTTGATTGCTTATTTTTTAAATTCAAAGTACTCCCAAACATTTCTGTTTTGACTTAAGTAATCAAATCTTACCTTCTTCTAAGGTATCGTGGCCTTCCTGGAAAGATAATTTCCTGCATGAACAATTGGTCATTGAAATCATATATCCGCCATTTTTCTACATCACAATTTGAATTGCGAGTTTTGGTCTTATTACCTCACCAAAAATTCCAAAACACACATGAAGTGATCAATGTATTAGTTCACATCTTCTGGATCGCTAACTTAGAATATACAGCCCGTTACTAATATCAGACGTTAACGACATTTTTGGTAAATGCACATGTTATTTTCTGGTACAAAATTAAGTGTGAAGGCATGCATGTTTTTCCTTGCTTTTTTCAGGAAAGTATCATAACACTGTTTACTTTTAGTAAACCTGGAAACAGGTCAATGGTCGCTCCTGCGTTGTCAGGAAAGTTTGAAAGAAACTTTGGAAAAATAGAAAGTGTGAAATATCAGAAGTTCCTGGAGTTCCCATTGAACTCTTACCAGATATTCTTAAAGAAGACAATGTAATGATACTTCCCTGAAAAAGCAAGGAAATTAACACGTGCCTTCATACTTTATTTTGTACCAGAAAATAACATGTGCAGGTATAGCAATTTTTTACCAAAATGTTACTTTCCAGCTGAGCCTTAAAAGTGATGGGAATGAAGTCTTTGATATATGCTCATGCGGGAAAATCCAAATCAGAAAAAACTTATCTTGGGAAGATTGAATGCGAACATGCAAGCCCAAAATGAAAGTTTCCAGAATTTATGAAGAAGTATCAATGTTTCATTTTTTATGTCACCACCAAAAGTGGTGACATATTGTTATGGTCTCCGTTTTTTTGCGACGGCGGTTGGTGGTTGGCGTCCGGCGGTTGGTGGTTGGCGTCCAGCAGTTGGCGTCCGGCGGTTGGCGTCCGGCGTCTGTAACAATTTCTTACAACTTCCTATAACTTAACAAATACTGTTTAGACTGACTTCAATTTTTTTCTAAATCATCTACATGTTCTCAGAAGTTCAAATCTGACTTTAGATTTGACATTTGACCTTCAATGACCTTCTCAAGGTAAAAAAGGTCTTTTTTCAACTTGCTTCACATTGACTAAATTTTTTTTCAAAATCATCTACATGTTCTCAGAAATTCAAATCTGACTTTAGATTTGACATTTGACCTTCAAATCTGACTTTAGATTTGACATTTGACCTTCAATGACCTTCTCAAGGTCAAAAAAGGTCAAAAAGGTCTGTTTTCAACTTGCTTCAAATTGACTAAATTTCTTTTTCAAAATCATCTACGTGTTCTCAGAAATTCAAATCTGACTTAAGATTTGACATTTGACCTTCAATGACCTTCTCAAGGTAAAAAAAGTCAAAAAGGTCTGTTTTCAACTTGCTTCAAATTGACTAAACATTTTTTTCAAAATCATCTACGTATTCTCAGAAATTCAAATCTGACTTTAGATTTGACTTAAGATTTGACATTTGACCTTCAATGACCTTCTCAAAGTCAAAAAAGGTCAAAAAGGTCTTTTTTCAACTTGCTTCAAATTGACTAATTTTTTTTTTCAAAATCATCTACATGTTCTCAGAAATTCAAATCTGACTTTAGATTTGACATTTGACCTTCAATGACCTTCTCAAGGTCAAAAAATGTCAAAAAGGTCTGTTTTCAACTTGCTTCAAATTGACTAAATTTTTTTTTCAAAATCATCTACGTGTTCTCAGAAATTCATATCTGACTTAAGATTTGACATTTGACCTTCGATGACCTTCTCAAGGTCAAAAAAGGTCAAAAAGGTATGTTTTCAACTTGCTTCAAATTGACTAAAAAAAAATTCAAAATCATCTACGTGTTCTCAGAAATTCAAATCTGACTTTAGATTTGACTTAAGATTTGACATTTGACCTTCAATGACCTTCTCAAAGTCAAAAACGGTCAAAAAGGTCTTTTTTAACTTGCTTCAAATTGACTAAATTTTTTTTTCAAAATCATCTACATGTTCTCAGAAATTCAAATCTGACTTTAGATTTGACATTTGACCTTCAATGACCTTCTCAATGTCAAAAAAGGTCAAAAAGGTATTTTTTCATCTTGCTTCAAATTGACTAAATTTTTTTTCAAAATCATCTACGTGTTCTCAGAAATTCAAATATGACTTTAGATTTGACTTTAGATTTGACATTTGACCTTCAATGACCTTCTCAAGGTCAAAAAAGGTCAAAAAGGTCTTTTTTCAACTTGCTTCAAATTGACCAAATTTTTTTTTCAAAATCATCTACATCTACATCTTTTCAGAAGTTCAAACTTGACTTTACAAGTTCCCAGAAATTCAAATCTGACTTAAGTTTGAACTCATAATATTGTGAGCAACTAGGTGGTGACATTTTGTCATGTTAATGCCTTGTTATCTGTTTGTTATTGTGCTTATGCTCAATGGTTGACTCATCAAATGTCATGTATATTGTTTTACTTATGTTTTAGGAAAATGGGAGTTCAGAAAATACAGACACATTTGATGTGTGTATATTACTGTTAAAAGAAGAATGTGATGAGACAAGTTCTAATGCATGTCTACAGACGCTATTAAAAATATTCCAGTGAGTTTTCATATATGTTTTACATTTCTTGTATATCAGTTGTCCCTACAGGGGTTTCATTAGCAGCAGGCAGATTTTCACTGGTTGTTTTCACAAAATGACCTGTTGTTTTTAGGGACTTTTCAACTTTTCCATGTTGAAACTTATGATTTTCATAAATTTTGCCTGTTGTTTTCATTTATTTAGCCTGTATAGTGTTGTGAGAAATTCTAGTGAAACTCCTGTCATATAATGTTTTATATTTTTCTTGTATATCAATTGTCCCTACAGGGGTTTCATTAGCAGTAGGCAACAGGTGATTTTCACTGGTTGTTTTCACAACATCACCTGTAGTTGTTTTTAGGGACTTTTCAACTTTTTCATGTTGAAATTTATGATTTCCATTAATTAAATGCCTGTTGTTTTCATTTATTTAGCCTGTTGTGAGAAATTCTAGTGAAATCCCTGTCATATATATTTTACATTTCTTTACATTCAGGTAGTTAAACCTTTTCACAAAACGTAAATGCAACTCAGAATGACGAAAATAATGTAGTTTTATAAATCGACAAATATATGGACCATAAAGTTATGTGCACAAATGTTAATGTTAATGCTTATCTTTTTTAATTGTTTTTTAATATTTTTTTCAGTAAAAATATCCGTAATAAATGAATATTTCAATGAACACTTTTAATTACTTTTCAGAAATGTAGTTAGTCATCCAACAGAAGAAAAATACAAAGTTATCCGAACAGAAAACAAGGCTTTTGCTTCAAAGGTTTGGTGCTACTCAGGGGCACAACAGTTTCTACTAGCAACAGGATGGACAGAGGTATGTTACCAAAGTAGCAAAATTACAAGTAAATTAAACATAATTCATTTGCTTAATTATCCCAGTGAACAAAGTTTGGTAAGAATACAATGCAGTCATTCAGTCAGACTTTCAGTCCATTCATTCATCTCGAGCATAGCTCAAATACCAGTGGACGTATTTCATTCATTTTTTTAAAATTTATGATATGAACAATACTTTACAGTTTTGGTCAAGCGAGGTGTCCCCTGTACACAAATATGAAGTAAAATAGCGGCATTTTATGAGATATTTGTGATTATGATTTATGATATGACCCATTTATTCCTATGATTTATAGTGATTTTTTGTTACAGGTAGATGATACTGTAGTCCTAACAGGGGACAGTAGCAGTTTGACTACAGCTATAAAAGTCTTACAGGCACATTTGAGGTTTGTAATTATGCCCCTGCATATACAACAAAATGTGCATATATTGAAATCATCATGATGCAAAATTCAAGAAAATTCTGAATGTTTAAGATTTCATGCATGGACTGAACAAACTGACTCCTCCCCCTCACTCCAGCCCCCTCACTCCTTCCCCCTCTCTCCTTCCCCCTCACTCCATCCCCCTCACTCCAACCCCCTCACCCCATTCGTAGAATATGCATCAGCTTTGCTTTATTCCCTCATATAATATTTCTGGCAATTGGAGATGCACTTTTTTTACATACTTCACATTTATTTCTATAAATCAATAGTTTACAATACAAATTGCCATTGTTGACAGGACAACATTATTATCCCATCGAACGAAGTTCGGAGGGATATAGGGAACGCCTCCGTCCGTCCGTCCGTACGTCCGTCCGTCCGTCCGTCCGTCCGTCCGTCCGTCCGTACGTACGTCCGTCCGTCCGTACGTACATCCGTCCGTCCGTCCGTCCGGGCAATAACTCAAAAACCGTTGGCCCGATTTTATTCATATTTTGTACACATATACCCTATGGGGGTAGAAGTTCTGCTCGAAAGCCGATTTTCAAAATGGCCGCTCATTTAAAAATGGCGGCCATTTTAGTGCCGATTTTACAGTAATTTAGGTGCAATATGTAAAACTGTAATAGCAATATGTTTTAAATGTAAAAAAATTATATAGGACATTAATAAAGCTAGAAATGTAGATATTAAAAAAGCACATGGCAGCCATCTTGAAAAATGGCGGCCTTTACTCGTTATTTTACGTAGTGGAGCGATTTTGTTCATATACGGTATGTGAATACTGTAAGCATGGCACACTGTCTAATGACACTTTTGGTAGAAGGCGGCCATTTTGAAAAATGGCGGACATTTTGAAAAATGGCTGCCATTTTAACTTATTTTACTATAATTCGAAAAGTAGTGGAGCGATTTTGTTCATATTTTTGTACGTGAATACGTATCAGCATGGCACACTGTTTAATGACACTTTTGGTAGAAGGCGGCCATTTTTCAAAATGGCGGCCATTTTAACGTTTTTTACTATAACTCGAAAAGTAGTGGAGCGATTTTGTTCATATTTGGTATGTGAATATTATAAGCATGGCACACTGTCTAATGACACTTTTGGTAGAAGGTGCCCGTTTTGAAAAATGTTCGATGGGATTCGCTACGCTTTGGCGTTGCCGTTGTTCTGGTTGGCAATTGAAACAATGTTGATAGATAAAATTGATATTTGGAGATGCACTTATATACAATTATTTGCACAAAATGAATAAACACGATAGAACAGGAATTTAACATGTTAAACAGTTTATGATTTACTTTCAGTACGGAAGCTCAGAATGCTACTCCACAGAAACAATCTCAATCTCCACAGAAACAAGCGATAAATCACGTAATGAATCAGGTATTTTGTACTTCACATTATTTTAGCGCTTATTTATTTGACTTTTTTTGCATGTTTGAGACATTGAAAGCTGTATCCCATGTTCAGGTTAGCTAAAAGTAACAAAGCTCTCTTTTAAGATGTGAAGTTAAATGAATGGAAAGGGCAGCATCTTTTTGGTATGTTTGTAAATTGTAAAATAACAGTACAGTTAAAACTCTCATGAGGTCACATAAGGGTGTTCAACTTATACAATTTTACTATTAAAAACAGATGACATTTGAATCTTATTTGAAAAAATACTATGGATGGTACTGTATCCCTAGTTTTTTTTTATACTGGCTATCACACTAACTGTGCTATGGCTAATTGGTTAAAATGTTTCTATGACAACAGGGTTTTACTTGAATTTCTGGATTAAAGCAAAATGATTTAAAAATCTTGAAATTATGGTTAACATTGGAAACAATAATTCAGGGGTTTCATTAGCAGGAGGCAACAGTCGATTTTCACCAGTTGTTTTCACAAAATTGCCTGTTGTTTTAAGGGACTTTTCAACTTTTCCATGTTAAATTTATGATTTCCATTCATTTTGCCCATTGTTTACATTTATTTAGCCTGTTGTGAGAAATTCTAGTGAAACCCCTGTAATTAAAGCTTCCTAAAACACAGCATGCCGAAAATGAAACCCCAAGGCTATTAATATTAACACCCTCATGACATACACCCCCAAAATGCAATCTGATTTTCGACGCCTTTTCGGTGCCAAATTTCGGTGCCGTTTCGGACTGACTAGTCTGGTGGCAAATTTTGGTGTCAAAAGGTTTCGTTGTCGAAACGGTGCCGGAACAGCGCCAAATTCTTTCGATGCCGAAACGGTGCCAAATTATATTGCCTGTGTACATGTCATATGACTGCAAGATCTATATGCAAATAAAACATTGCAAGATTCAAGAGAGCAAAGATCAAAGAAGCATTGGATAAATTTTATAAGATGAGTGCAAAATTATGCATATGAAATATTTCAGGACTCTAAGAAAGCAAAGGTCTTAGATGAGGGTAGGAAGAAACAACTAGAAGCTTACAAGAGACAAATGGAGGAGAAGAAAAGAATAAGAGAACAGGTACGTCTCAATTAATCTTGGCACATTGATGGAAATCAGTTTGAGAATCCACTTTGGATATAAATCCAGCCATTCCCAAAAAAAGATTATGTTTGTTGTGATTGTTTTATTGTATTTGGGATTAAAAGGAGGTAGTGCAGTCAGAATGTGGGTTTCGGCGTGCGTTCGGAGGGATTTTATGGGACATGATTTTTCATGTTACTACTATGATTATACATATTTGTATGGATTATTAGATCTTAGTTTTTCAGCTTTTAGATTTTGTGGCCATTTTACCCCCCATGGGCTAAAATTTGGACCCCTACTATAAAATTGGGCAAGAACTCAAAAAATACTCAATGGAATGTTTCCAAATTACTAAGTTATATTGATATAGGCTAACTGAATATATGATAAAAATTTCATGTCACATGGTTAAGTGGTTGCCATGGAAATGTATAAAACATGCTCTTTGGGTGTCAATTTTCAGGCCAATTTTTCAGGACTGACAGAGTAATTTCATGCATATTTTGTCACCAATGTGTTAGGAAGGGTTAAAATGTAAATAGAAAACTTCTATAATATATTAGCAACAATTGTATGTAAAGATCAGACCACAAAACCTCAGATTTTGGCCTTGTATTGGTCCATGACATATACAGGGGTCTTTTTCATAGACTCGAGCTCCCACATTGGATGGATGCTATAACTTTTGAAATAATGGGGATACAGGTCTCATTTTTTCAGATCTTCATAAATGGTTAGTTTTAAGTATTTTATTCTATTTTGGGAACTGACATATGATTGGTTGCCATGGTAACCAGGGGTTTAGGGAAATTCTGACCCCCACATTGGATGGATGCTATAACTTTTGAAATAAGGGAGATACATGTCTCATTATTTCAGATCTTAGACAATGATTGATTATAAATATTAAATTAGACTTTGAGAGCTGAAATTTGATTGGTTACCATGGTAACTAGAGTTTTATTGAAATTTGGACCTCCTCAATTGATAAATGCTTTAACGTTTGAATTTAAGCAGATACAGATATCATCATTTCAGATCTTAAAAATTAATTAGATTTGTGTATTGAATTAGACTTTGTAGCTTAGCATTTACTTGATTGCCATGGTAACCATGTTTTGTCGTCATGGTACCCTTAATTTTTTATTTCAGTCTTACCTTCATTTGAGAATGATCAATTCACAACATGTTATACCAAAATGCTCAAAATTATCATTTTGCTCTTAATTTCAGCAATTTATCCTGTATGTCTGACAGTATAGCCTCATTCCATTCTACTAGTTCTCACACATATTCTGACTCCCAACTTGTTTTTACTCACCATTATCGTTTTCATCTTCCACAATTGCCTCTTAATTAAAAATATCAACAGTTTCTATTGGAAAGAAGGATTCCTTTGACCATTCTTGTGTTAAAGATTCGTCAGGGAATTCACAGTTCATTCATGCAGTGTTGGGCATAATGGTAGAGCTGGGTTTAAGCTGGTGGGAATGTGTAAATACATAGGTTTGATAATTAACCCTCTTCAAATGTGAAAGAAAATGTCAACACCTTCATAAGTGAGGGCAGCACTCTTCTGTTTTGTTCTATATCTCATGGGAAACAGCTCGTAAATCTATTAGTGGCAGTTATTTTTCTATTTCTGCTGTATTTTTGCAGGTGGACAATTCAACTTTCGATTTTATGGTAGCAGGAATTCCTATATTGTTTCCTATTGAAGAAAACAACTTTAAGAATTGCTTGTCTTCCGTTTCAGTTGATTTACTTTTCCTTTGTTCAGAAAGGCACTGTACGAATCTGATCCAGTAAACGCATTGACGGCTAATATAGCTTCACTCAGTACTTGGTTCTAGGTTTGCAGCTACAGAGGTTTGGTTGAGCTTCTGACATGTAATGGAACAGAGTTCACATCAGTTGAGGTTCTTAAGGTTGTTTTCTTCATAAAAGGAATCAATATAGAAATTCCTGACACAATAAAATCCAAAGTTGAATTGTTCACCAGTAAAAGTACAGCAGAATTACAAAAATATATATGTAACTTACATCAATAGATAACGATATGAGCTGTTTCACATAAGATATTCTCCAAAACAGAACAGTGCTGCCCTCACTTATGGAGGTGTTGACATTTCAACTCTTCCCACCTTTCAAGATTGGTCCTTCACTGCTTTCATAGCAGCTAATATAATGCAATAAATTAAATGATGAACTCTTCCACCTTTTAATGATTGCTCATTATAACATTTGAAGAGGATGGATAATAAAACTTATATTTGGAAGTGGAAACATTACCCCCTGTCTCCCAGGAGTCCACTGTATATAAATCTTGAGGGGATCCTTAGCTCAGGTGGGGTGCTTTTTCACATTTGATATGGCAATGGACCCAAATTTTAGGATCTGGTATGAGAATGCTCTCCAAATTATGACTTGAGAGGTATGGCAATGGTTGGATTTGGGAATGGTCGTGAAAAACATGTTGCCCCTCACTTGTTGTACATGTATGTCATAGATTTAGTATATCATTAATGTGAGGTTATTTTTGGTTGTTTTCCTCAATGATATGCCTTCTTCTCGAGGCATTAGAAATTTTGAATGGCCATGTTTTCATATCTGGATATTTGGTATGGCACTGGTCCTATATTTGGCCATTTGGTATGGCTTTTGGGCATTCTTTTGGTTGATATCGAAACACATTCAAATTTGACAGATTGGTTGGGAACATATTGATATTTGAGGGTTCAGCCTAGGATCCCAGCCAAATTTTATATACAGTGAACCTACAGGGACCAGTCTTAACCCATTCTGCCAAGTCCAATACTGCATGAATGGACTATATCCCCTGAGGATCCTTATCTCCAGAATGGTCAAAACAATCCTTCATTCCAACAGAAATTGATGTTAAGAGGAAATTGTGTTAATGAAAACAGTAATGATGAGTACAAATGAACAAATTAGGAGTCAGAACTTTTGTAAGAACTAGTAGTATGGAATAAGGCAATATTGTCAGACATACATGTAAAAACTGTTTACTAGTATTTGATATCTTATGAGCCAAACAATGTTTGCATCTCTATAGTATTATTGAGTCATGAGCATGTAAATCATATAAAATTTAAAAAAATCCCAAAATTAAGAATACAATGGTAACTTTGAGCATTTGGGTATTTTATGTCATGTATTGACCTATCTAGAATAAAGGTGAATCTGAAAACGAAAACAGCAGTTACCATGACAATGAAACATGGTTACCATGGTAGACAAATAAATCCTAGCTTCCAAAGTCTAATACAATACACACATATTATTATTATCTTACATCTGAAAAGATTATATCTTATCTGGCTGTATTTAAGAGTTATAGTGTTCATAAATTGTGGAGGTCTGAATTTCAACAAAACCTTGATTTCCATGGTAACCAATCAAATTTCAGCTCCTAAAGTCTAAATCAATACTTTAAATCAATCATTGTCAAAAATCTGAAAAAATGAGACATGAATCTCCCTTATTTCAAAATTTATAACATCCATCCAATGTCGGGGTCAGGATTTCCTTAAAACCCTGGTTACCATGGCAACCAATCATATACCAGCTCCAAACATACATTTTAGTATTTAAAACCAACCATTTATGAAGATCTGAAAAAATGAGACCTGTATCTCCCTTATTTCAAAAGTTATAGCATCCATCCAATGTGGGAGCTCGAGTCTATGAAATAGACCCCTGTATAAGTCATGGACCAATACAAGGCCAAAATCTGAGGTTTTGTGGACTGATTTTTACATACAATTATTTCTTATATATTATAGAAGTTTTCTATTTACATTTTAACCCTTCCTAACACATTGGTGACAAAATATGCATGAAATTACTCTGTCAGTCCTGAAAAATTGGCTTGAAAATTGACACCCAAAGGGCATGTTTTATCCATTTTCATGGCAACCACTTAACCATGTGACATGAAATTTTTATCATATATTTAGTTAGCCTATACCAATATAACTTGGTAATTTTTAAACATTCCACTGAGTATTTTTTGAGTTCTTGCCCAATTTTATAGTAGGGGTCCAAATTTTAGCCCATGGGGGGTAAAATGGCCACAAAATCTAAAAGCTGAAAAACTAAGATCTAATAATCCATACAAATATGTATAATCATAGTAGTAATATGAAAAATTATGTCCCATAAAATCCCTCTGAACGCACGCCGAAACCCACATTCTGACTGCACTAAGGAGGGAAATTAGCCCAACAGATTTTGGACAGTCATATGTTGGATTTTGGCCATTTTCTGAGGATTTAAAGAATTGCATATGTTAGGCCAATGCATTACCTCCAGGTAAAGCACTTCTAGAGATGATAAAATAATTAATTTTTATTAATTTTTCTTGCATCAATATAATGCGTTTTGACACATAGTTAGCGACTTTAAAGGAATAAGTGATTCCTTCAGGGGTTTTAAAGATACCCATTATGGGTGACCAAACTTATTCCTTTTAAGAGATTAACTGTGTGTCAAAACGCAACATAATAATGCAAGAAAAATTAAAAAAGCAGGGATGGCAGGGGTTGAAAATCTGGAAAACGTTTCAGAAAAAACATGTGGGTTGGTTGTTTGCATCTACCCTGTCTCAAAGTCGAAATTATTTTATCATCTCTAGAAGAGATTTTCCTGGAGGTAGTGCATATGCACCTGTTTGAATAAATCCCCAGTAAATGGCCAAAATCCAACATATGACTGTCTAAAATCTGTTGCGCTAATTTCCCTCCTCCTTTGTGTTAAATATTGACATCCCTTACCTCAGCTCAAAGTGAAACATTAAACATTTATATATCAACTGAAAGTCCCTCAAAAAAAATCTGGAAAACGTTTCAGAAAAAACATGTGGGTGGGTTGTTTGCATCTACCCTGTCTCAAAGTCGAAATTATTTTATCATCTCTAGAAGAGATTTTCATGGAGGTAGTGCATATGCACCTGTCTGAATAAATCCCCAGTAAATGGCCAAAATCCAACATATGACTGTCTAAAATCTGTTGCGCTAATTTCCCTCCTCCTTTGTGTTAAATATTGACATCCCTTACCTCAGCTCAAAGTGAAACAGTTAACATTTATATATCAACTGAAAGTCCCTCAATTTTTAATGATATCTTGTTTTACAAATAGAGGGCAGCGTCATCTCATATTCATTCCCTATTCCATCTTCATTCATATATACATTGGTACACATTTTGTATCCATACCTATTACCTCTATAGTATTATGTATATCAACTAAAAGTCCCTCAATTTTTAATGAAACCTTGTTTTACAAATAGAGGGCAGTGTCATCTCATATTCATTTTCTATTCCAACTTCGTTCATATATACACTGGTACACATTTTGTATCCATACCTATTTAGTATTACCTTGATATAGTAATATGTATATCAACTGAGTCCCTCAATTTTTAATGATATCTTGTTTAACAAATAGAGGGAGGCACCATCATATTCATTCCTTATTCCATCTTTATTCATATATACACTGGTACACATTTTGTATCCACCTATTTAGTATTACCTTGATATAGTATTATGTATATCAACTGAAAGCGCCTCAATTTTTAATTATATCTTGTTTTACAAATAGAGGGCAGCACCATCATATTCATTCCTTATTCCATCTTCATTCATATATACACTGGTACACATTTTGTATCCATACCTATTTAGTATTACCTTGATATAGTAATATGTATATCAACTGAAAGTCCCTCAATTTTTAATGATATCTTGTTTAACAAATAGAGGGAGGCACCATCATATTCATTCCCTATTCCATCTTCGTTCATATATACACTGGTACACATTTTGTATCCACCTTGTATTTAGTATTACCTAGATATAGTATTATGTATATCAACTGAAAGCGCCTCAATTTTTAATGATATCTTGTTTTACAAATAGAGGGCAGCACCATCATATTCATTCCCTATTCCATCTTTATTCATATATACACTGGTACACATTTTGTATCCACCTATTTAGTATTACCTTTATATAGTAATATGTATATCAACTGAAAGTACCTCAATTTTTGATGATATCTTGTTTTACAAATAGAGGGCAGCACCATCATATTCATTCCTTATTCCATCTTCGTTCATATATACACTGGTACACATTTTGTATCCATCTATTTATTATTACCTTTATATAGTAATATGTATATCAACTGAAAGTCCCTCAATTTTCAATGATATCTTGTTTTACAATTAGAGGGCAGCACCATCATATTCATTCCCTATTCCATCTTCATTCATATATACACTGGTACACATTTTGTATCCACCTATTTAGTATTACCTTGATATAGTAATATGTTTATCAACTGAAAGTCCCTCAATTTTTAATGATATCTTGTTTTACAATTAGAGGGCAGCACCATCATATTCATTTTCTATTCCATCTTCGTTCATATATACACTGGTACACATTTTGTATCCATACCTATTTAGTATTACCTATATATAGTATTATGTATATCAACTGAAAGCGCCTCAATTTTTAATGACATCTTGTTTAACAAATAGAGGGAGGCACCATCATATTCATTCCCTATTCCATCTTCGCCTAAGTTGAAAGCTGGTCCCTCTAGACTCTGAATTCTGTCATTATAAATGCTCATGGGGTATTTCTGAGTAATTTTAATAATTGATTATTTGGTCATATATAACACCCTGCCCTGTTAGAATGATATTGTGTATGAATACATAAATAGTGATGTGACGCCATTGATTATATTCTTTTCAGATTGAGGCTGACAGACGAGAGACAAAGACTAGAGAGAGTAAATCATCTGTAAGTATCCAATGAGAATGTGTCATCAAAATTTCAGATCTATTGGTCAAAACAGTTTATCAATCAAAAAAATTCCAACTTGTCTTCTGCTTTACCAACCTTAATCACATGTACACCAAATAACTCCAAATGGCCAATATTAAAATAGAACAAATTGGAATGACTCAAGGGAGAGTATATTATAATTATTAAATGAACATTAGTAATAGGAATTGTTAAATTGTGGCAATCATATTTTTGTGAACCATTTTTTCATGAATTTTAATGCTGATAACATCCAAATGGCTCCTAAACTAGCTGCCATAACTTTCAAAGATACTTTCAATAGTAGTTTTAATTTGAATATTATAATAATTCATGAATGGAACTTTCGGCTGTCGACTACCATGTTAACCTTCTTTTTTGTGTGAAACTCATTTAGATATGAATAGTACCCGCTGGAATTTTATTGACTGAATCCTGATTGGCTAAGCTTAGATCAAAGGATCATGTGAGAGAATTTATCTCCAACTCAAAGAGTGAAACTTGACAAAGATCAAAATAACATTATCACGGGGGTCCAACTATGCATTTTGGAAAACTGTTAATTTACCTACCAGATGTTTGAAAAATTGTAGCTCAAGGATTACAGTGTACCAACAGAAAGGCATTTTTGTTTTGGTTTTAATGGAACAAGTTTGAAGAAAAATGGAGCAGTTTAATTTTCAAAAATCTGGTAGAATTAAAGTTCAAATTAACCGTGTTCAACGTGCATAGTTGGACTTGCATAATTATTAGAAAGCAATGAAACAGAGCCCTTGGAAATTACAATTACAGTGATTCATTCAAATAGCAGCCTAAAAAGCCAATTGCATTTAAAGTCCGTTGGAGAAGTTGGAAAAAAACATGAAAATCTTGAACAGTCTTGTCAGAATTGTTAAGCTGCAGGAGTAGTAATTTGCATTCTGCTGAAAATCATAAGAAAAACAAAGTCAGTGATCAGTTTTGTTTATTTCTCAACTAAAATAATGCAAAACGTACAAAGCATGTCATAAAAATATGATATTACACCTGATATTTCTAGCTCACCCATTTGAGCTACTGTTATCACTCAGTTGTCCCAGTGACACTAAGCATTAATGTATTTAACTAAGTTCATATCACCAGCATCAATCATTGTCACTAGAGTGATTGAGTATACAACTGTTGGACAAAATATTTCCCTCCATATTTAACACACAATGAGCAATGTAACATTACAGCAAACAATCACAGTAACAAATATTTTGTTCTATGATGGGGAATACCTTTGAATAGAATGAAATATTTGTAGGCCTTACCTACGATTACCCTATTTGTATAATACACTGCACTGATAATAAATTAATCTATGTACATACATGTATATATTATACTTTGATCTGCTATGAGGCATCGTCTAAGAAACTAAGGGTAGAATAAAGACATCAGTGCTCTACCTGCACACAAGAGCAACATTGTGATGTACCTTGATGAAATTATTAAAATTACATGTCACCATGTACAACTTCTATTCGTACTCTGCCAAAATGGTGACATTTTTATATATTCTGGCCAAAACAGGTGAAATGAGGATCTGGTTCCCCAGTGAACTCCCTTCAGATTAATATACAGTGTATACGTCATATGTCCAAGTTGATATGTCCTCTAATGAATAAGCGCATCTGAAAAACTGTAAAAAATTAAGCAAAGCATTTTTGGTGTGCTTCATGAAGCGCATCTCTCAGCTGATATTACCTGCATAGAAGCAATGTTGATACACCCATATTAATCAATGTGTCCACACAGGTGACTAGCTTCAACATTTGCCACATAAGTGTTCAGGGTAAATTCAGTACTTTTGAATTTTTGAAGAAGTCACTGCTCTAATCCCTTGGGTTTGGTATATGAGTGTGTCTGTTTCTCCATGTGGGACAAGAGTGTCAGCTTGAAACCAAACATTGACATGTCCACTGGGTGTAATCTGAACTTGTAATCTGAACATTAGTATCCCTTAATGTGGCATTGTGCTTAGCCAGAACCCATTTCTTTTCTTTCATAATGTGTCATTTGCCAGCAGTACGGTAAATACAAATAAGCATTAGTTAAATCATACATTGTCATAACACAATGATGTCATGTCCACTAGTTGATGTGATGTATCATTATATTTCCATTAATCAATGACCCACATGTCGTACAGATTGCTGGTGCATGTGCATAGTGTTGGTTGAAACATCCAACACAAAAGTCAGCATGGCCACATGGGATATTGATGACTTGTCGAACACTAAGGTGACATTCTCGACATAAGTTTTGAAGAAGCTGCAGTGGCCATAATAACACAACAATTATTATCATATTAGGGAGAGGTTCTTCTGGAAACAAAGAAACGCAAACTTGCAATGGAATATGTGAACAAAGTAGAACATGACTGAATACTAATAATAGCCTAATAACTGTGAAAACAAAATAGACTCACCCCGAAATGAATAAGAAATAATGATAGCCGTATTACTGTGAAAACAAACTAGACTCACCCCGAAATGAATAAGAAATAATGATAGCCGTATTACTGTGAAAACAAAGCAGATTGAACCTGAGTGAATAAGAAATAATGATAGCCATATTACTGTGAAAACAAAGCAGATTGAACCTGAGTGAATAAGAAATAATGATAGCTGTATTACTGTGAAAACAAAGCAGATTGAACCTGAGTGAATAAGAAATAATGATAGCCTTATAAAATTACTGTGAAAACAAAGCAGATTGAACCTGAGTGAATAAGAAATAATGATAGCCGTATTACTGTGAAAACAAAGCAGATTGAACCCTGAGTGAATAAGAAACAATGATAGCCGTATTACTGTGAAAACAAAGCAGATTGAACCTGAGTAAATAAGAAATAATGATAGCCTTATTACTGTGAAAACAAAGCAGATTGAACCCGAGTGAATAAGAAATAATGATAGCCTTATTACTGTGAGAACAAAGCAGATTGAACCTGAGTGAATAAGAAATAATGATAGCCGTATTACTGTGAAAACAAAGCAGATTGAACCCTGAGTGAATAAGAAATAATGATAGCCGTATTACTGTGAAAACAAAGCAGATTGAATCTGAGTAAATAAGAAATAATGATAGCCTTATTACTGTGAAAACAAAGCAGATTGAACCCGAGTGAATAAGAAATAATGATAGCTTATAACTGTGAAAACAAAACAAATTGAACCTGAGTGAATAAGAAATAATGATAGCCGTATTACTGTGAGAACAAAGCAGATTGAACCCTGAATGAATAAGAAATAATGATAGCCTTATTACTGTGAAAACAAAGCAGATTGAACCTGAGTGAATAAGAAATAATGATAGCTTATAACTGGGAAAACAAAGGAGATTGAACCATGAATGTGAAGTGAAAAATAAATAATGATAGCCTTATTACTGTGAAAACAAAGCAGATTGAACCCTGAGTGAATAAGAAATAATGATAGCCGTATTACTGTGAAAACAAAGCAGATTGAACCCTGAATGAATAAGAAATAATGATAGCCTTATTACTGTGAAAACAAAGCAGATTGAACCTGAGTGAATAAGAAATAATGATAGCCTTATTACTGTGAAAACAAAGCAGATTGAACCCTGAATGAATAAGAAAAAATGATAGCCTTATTATTGTGAAAACAAAGCAGATTGAACCTGAGTGAATAAGAAATAATGATACCCTTATTACTGTGAAAACAAAGCAGATTGAACCTGAGTGAATAAGAAATAATGATAGCCTTATTACTGTGAAAACAAAGCAGATTGAACCTGAGTGAATAAGAAAAAATGATAGCCTTATTACTGTGAAAACAAAGCAGATTGAACCTGAGTGAATAAGAAATAATGATACCCTTATTACTGTGAAAACAAAGCAGATTGAACCTGAGTGAATAAGAAATAATGATAGCCTTATTACTGTGAAAACAAAGCAGATTGAACCTGAGTGAATAAGAAATAATGATACCCTTATTACTGTGAAAACAAAGCAGATTGAACCTGAGTGAATAAGAAATAATGATAGCCTTATTACTGTGAAAACAAAGCAGATTGAACCTGAGTGAATAAGAAATAATGATAGCCGTATTACTGTGAAAACAAAGCAGATTGAACCTGAGTGAATAAGAAATAATGATAGCCGTATTACTGTGAAAACAAAGCAGATTGAACCTGAGTGAATAAGAAATAATGATAGCCTTATTACTGTGAAAACAAAGCAGATTGAACCTGAGTGAATAAGAAATAATGATACCCTTATTACTGTGAAAACAAAGCAGATTGAACCCTGAGTGAATAAGAAATAATGATAGCTTATAACTGTGAAAACAAAGCAGATTGAACCTGAGTGAATAAGAAATAATGATAGCTTATAACTGTGAAAACAAAGCAAATTGAACCCTGAGTGAATAAGAAATAATGATAGCCTCATTACTGTGAAAACAAAGCAAATTGAACTCTGAATGAATAAGAAATAATGATAGCCTTATTACTGTGAAAACAAAGCAAATTGAACCCTGAGTGAATAACAAATAATGATAGCCTTATTACTGTAAAAAAAAGCAAATTGAACCCTGAGTGAATAAGAAATAATGATAGCCGTATTACTGTGAAAACACAGCAGATTGAACCCTGAGTGAATAAGAAATAATGATAGCCTTATTACTGTGAAAACAAAGCAGATTGAACCTGAGTGAATAAGAAATAATGATAGCCTTATTACTGTGAAAACAAAGCAGATTGAACCTGAGTGAATAAGAAATAATGATAGCCTTATTACTGTGAAAACAAAGCAGATTGAACCTGAGTGAATAAGAAATAATGATAGCCTTATTACTGTGAAAACAAAGCAGATTGAACCTGAGTGAATAAGAAATAATGATAGCTTATAACTGGGAAAACAAAGGAGATTGAACCATGAATGTGAAGTGAAAAATAAATAATGATAGCCTTATTACTGTGAA